TCTAAAGAAAATCAGGGAATTAATCTAGTAAAGCTATAGGAATTCAAGTATTATATTAATATAGTTTAGATTAAAATTATATAATATAAAGTATATATTAGCCTTTCTTTAGTTCCCTAGTATATTCTTAGTAATAATCCTAAGAATATAATTTCTATATAAATAAATTCTTTTTTTCTCTAGTAAGAATAAGGGAATTACTTTTAATATTAATAAAATATCTATATTTAAGGCTAATTTTCTCTTTATATAATTAGCCTTTATATCCGAGTTAACTAATACTCTAATTCTTTACTTATCTTTCCTTATTTTAATAATAACCTTAATTACTATTCTTGTTTTAGGGGCCTTATTTTCTATAATATAAATAAATATAACTATTATAGGATATATCTATTTCCTGGCTTCTTTAGTTCTAGGTATTTATATATCTTATAACTAGACTTATTATAGTTATAGTAAGTCAGTTTTCCCTAATTTAGGCAAGTAGTAGTATAATAATCCTTTTTCTAATAAGTAAAGCAAGTTATATCTAGTTTTATAAATTCTAATATAAATACTATATTAGACCTTATTACTATATTTTTATTATTCCGGTTATATAAATCTTATAATAAAGATATACTTCTCTTCTATTTCCCTTTATTATTTCCTTTCTTTTATTAACTCGTTAGCTTATTATTATATTCCTATTAAGTAAACTAGTTTAAGTTATTTTTAATTCTTATAACTATAAAAATAAGCTTTTTTCTTTCTTATAAAGTATTTCTTTAGTAATTAATCTTATTCCGAATCTCTTACCTCAAGCTATTAAATAAGTCATTTTGCTCTTATAATAAATTTATATATCCCAAGTTATTTAATAAACTATTTAAATAGAATATAAAGCTTTAGATATTCTAATCTGGCTACTATTTTATATCCTTAAACTTAGTAAAGGTATTATTATTATAGTTCTCCGAATCCAAAATAAAATCCTTTATAAACTTAATAAAGGTCTCCTAATTCATAGTATTAATACTTACTAATTATTTCCTATATTTCTAGATATCCCTGGCTATATTCTTAAAGTAAGAAGTATAATATATAACCTTTACTATATCTATAGCCTAGGTAATCCCGCCGTTTTTATACTATTTTAGCTTTGCCTAATAAAAGAAGTCCTAGGCTTCCTTAATACTCTTTCTTTTATAAGTTAGTAATTCTCGGGTTTTTAGAGTTCTATAAACTAAATATATTACTAGTAATATAATAGGTTCTATAATAAGTACCCGAATATTCTTAAAATAGTAAATCTGAGCTTCTAGATCTTCTAGATTCTTCCTCTATTATATTTCTGCTTTTAACTTAGTAATATAATAATAAGCCGCTACTAGCTTCTCTATTATTATTATCCTGCTAGCTAGTTCTAGGGATATCTGAGTTCTATTTCCTTCTCCTAATTAGGCAATAGCTAGAGTAACTAACTGGGCGCTTTCCTAGATACCTGACTAGATTACCCTAGTAATAATAGAGGCACTTCTTCTAGTTAATACTCTAGCTATTAGTGGTTTTATCTATTAATGGCTTAACTACCTTGTAATAAACTATTTCCCGAAGGTTAGATTAATTAGAATATAAGATACGTAATAGTAAGGTAATATATAAGTAGTTAAGGTAAGTAAGCTATAAAGTAATACTTATAAGTATAACTAATTCCAAGAATTAATTCTAATAAGAGACTAATTAATATCTTTTCTAAAGCTAGAAGCGTCTCCCTATATATTCCCTAGTACTTAGCCAGGTATATAAAGCCCTTTACTTAATTAGGAAATCCCATATAATCTATATAATTCTAATTATAAGCTATACTTAAAATAGGAAACTAGATTCACGATATCTAATATCTATTTATATACTATTACATATACTCATTATACTATTTTACTATTTTCTAATAAAGATTTCGGAGTTCCTTAAAAGTATCTTACTAATAGGTTTAAGATACTTGGAATATATTAGCTAAATAGACCTTAAATTATTTCTAATAAATCTTATATAATAGTAGGCTTTACTTTATTATAGTCTTCCAAATATTATAAGGTTCATTCCTAAAAGTATTTATAATAGAGTTAATTCTAGAAAAGTATTTATTATAAGTTTAAGATTAGATTCTAAAAACTACTTTTTAGAAAAATATAAATATTCTCTATTTTTTAAAGAACTTTCTATAATATAAGTCAGGTATTTGAATCTTAAAAAGCTTCTTTTAGTCCAAATATATCTTTAGGATATTATATAATAGCTTCTAATAAATAGTATTGAAATTATTTCTAAAGCTTATTATATTAGGAAAGAGAATAGATTCTAATCCTATTTCAGGAAATTCTCTAGTAATAATTACTAAAAAAAATAAAATAAACTTATAAATAGAGTTTCTATAAAATATAATAAATTATAAAGTATTTCTAAGAATATTTTTATATTATTCTAACTATAGAATATATTAATTAATTATATTTACTTATTCTTGCTTTTATTAGAATACTTTAATTCTAATATATAAGCTCTATTCTATAGTTTAAGTAATAGTAATTTAGGTATTAATTTTAGTATCTTAATTATTACCGGAATTATTTTCATTATTATTACTTGTTTATAGAGGTTCCTAAAGGGCTCTATTAAAAGTATTAGACAAGCCTTTACTATTACCTATATTGGAATTAATCTAGTCGATTTCCTTTATAGATATAGCTTTAATAAGGGGTTATATATTTCGCAGATTTCGAGATATAATTACTTATTAAACTACTTCTTTTAAGAATAAAGAGATTAGCTTATAAGGTATTTATTAGTAGGTAATAAGATAATAAAATAAATTAGTTATAAAGCTATAGTATTAAATTTAGTATAGAACTAATCTCTGTTTTTCCTATAAGGTCCAGAGAAGTCTCTTCTAAATAGGAGGCCCTAATAATATATATATAATTAGTAATTTATAAGCCTAATACTTATAATATAAATAGTAATTAGTTATAATATAAAGGGCTATTAATCTCTCTAATTAATACTTGTAATATCCGAGGTTTATTATTTACTCTTAAGTCACGTGCGACCCTATATATATTACAGGTTTATTAAAATAAATAAAAGCTTCTTTTAGCTAAAGTTTAAGAAATATTTAATTAGTATTTTATAAATTAGGAATATAGCTAACTAATAATAGTTTTATTATTAAGACTATTACTTACCTTATATTTATATTATTTAAAAAACTATCTAGATTCTATTTTCTAAAATCTATAAAATTAATTTATTAATTTATTTAATTATATTTTATTTTATTATATAAGTCTTTATTCTAGATTATAAAAATTAAGCTTTATATAAAATAATTAAGCTTTAAAAGAAGAAAAGTTAATAGGGTATTTATTTAAATTTTATTAATAAGGTAAATAAGGGCACTAGTAGGTATTAGAATTAATGGCATATAGACTATAGACCACTAAAAAGGTACCATCTTTATAATATTACAAATATATAATACTCTTATAAAATAAGCTAATTTCAAAGAACAGATTACCTTTGAAGCTAATAAATAGTATAAGTAAGATATATTAATAATTGGGTTATAGAATATTTGTAAAGGTTTAGTATAATTATATCTGTTAAGTAGACTAGAATCTTACCTATAAGGCGAGTTTAAATATAAATTAAATTTAATTAAAATAAATAAGAGAGTATATTTCTATTATGCTCTAGAAATATAGATTGATTTTGCTTTATATTATGACTTTATATTTTCTTAAAGTCGGTGACTTTGGTTGAATTTTGGTGAGGATTTCGCTAAACTGGGGCGTGCGCTATTAATTCTGAGAAAATTATTAAGGCTAGAAAGTATTAAGAAGAAAAGGAAAGGCTAGGAATTATAAAGGAGAAAGCTAAATTAGAAAGAAAAATTAAAAGAGCCGCAAATACCCTTAGAAATAAATAGAAAAAGGTAAAAAAAAGTAGTAGATAAAGAGGCTAAGGCTATTTAGAAGTAATTAGTAAAGGACCTGAAGCTAGCTAATAAGTTTACTAAGAAAGTACTAAAGAAATAGCTAGTTTTTATTATTTCTAAGATAAAAAAAGCTATTCTAGTAATATTAACTAAGCGGAAAGTACTTATTAAAACTAGGCGCCCTATAAAGGCAGTAATATAGTAGGAGGTAATTACCCAAATTAGTAAGATAATTATATTAGAAATAATATAGGCGAAAACAAGTATATATATAATTATGCTACTATAATACTTTAGACAAAAAAACTAAATTATACAAGTTCAAGATCTTAATTAACTCTATCCTGTAATTTAATATTATTTAATTTGGATAAGTAGTTATAGAGTAATTAATTATTAAAGTTCGGGGCGAAATGCGAATTCGCGTGTTTTTGATGCGGGTCGTGGTTTGGTGCGGGGCATCGGTTAGCCCCTTTTGCCGCTTCCTAAGGCGTTGGTCAGATCATGGAATGTGACCTCCTGGTCATCCGCCTCCCATGTGTACGAAAGAATAGCATATCTGGGAGAGGGTTTGCCAAAAAAGCTGGTTAGGCTAAAGCTGCCGTCGGAGTTGGCACTGAGAAGCCGCATATTGAGGGGTGGATTTTGAAGAGTAGCGCCAATTCTGGCTCTGCTTCTGGCTCTGCTGCCTCTAGCACAGAACTCTTACGCTTCCGATCACGTTTCCCCTTGTCCTTCATGACCTCCTTCGCGGAGATGGGATAGGGATTGGAACGACTGAGTGGCAGCTTCGTAAAAGTAGACACGCGGCTGCTTGTGGAAACGTCTGGAATAACGCCACACTTCACGTGAGTTTCATAAAATGTGAAATTTTAACTTCTTTAATTTAAAGAGATAACGTCTATCCATGCGTGCCGAAAAAACCGGTGTGCCGAAAAAAATAATAGGTACTTTGACTTTGAGCATCTTAAAATCTGCGCACACCTCAATATCTCCTATAATTTTTTATAAACTATGTTCCGTAGCTACTCCCGAATACCCTGAACCCCTCCTACTAGAAAATCACGTTCGCATCGTCGCCCTCACGCCTGATTTGCAAAGAGTGTCCTTTTATAGCGTAATAGACTTCCTCTACCACAGCTTCCACCACCGAGCTTATACCATCCCCAATACTTATAAAGGAGTTATCCGAGCTCTCAGGCCTCACTGCGATGCAGGGAATCGTCATTAGCCTTGGTGGCTGCTGTGGCGTGCAGATTTCATGCAAGATCGCCACGCGGATCTGTACCTCGGATCAAAGCGAGACGATTTTGGTTGGTGCGAAATAACCCCGCAATATTTACGTTGTAATTTCAATTATAAAGCCTTAGGCACAAAGGCTAGGAGTGGCTGGAGGTACTATGGTGCCTGGTGCGCCACATCCGGCTTAGTAATGACTTTAGTGCCTGCAAAGATCGCAAGCAAAATCTTTACAGATCGTGTATCCAAATTCGCATTCAGTATCGACCCTATCGTCTCGCATTTGCCAAAATCTTGCATGCTAGAGATCCCCAAGCACACTGCTAAGTGGCGGCTAGGCCGGCTCATACCATGCATACTGCCCTCAAGCTAGATCACTGGAAACCCATCACATACGAGTCGGCACTTAGAAAGATGCTACTAGTCACTCTGGGTATGCGCGAGTGGGGTTCGTTTGTGCTGCCGCAGGCTTTCGTCGCTACCAAAAGTTCGATCGCAGAGAATATAACGGGAGCTCATATTAAAGTTTTTATACCAGTGTTGCTTCGACTGTTCAGAAGTATTCAGAAGTATGATGATTGGAAGCGGGGAGTCGATAGTCCAGTTATCCATGTGACGAATGGAATGTCGGTATAGGGGCTAGCTCTGTCGTGTAACGCTGCCGTCTAATGACCCAGTGACACATAAACCCCTAAGAATTCCCTACGTGAGGTATCTATATTATTTCACTCTCGCTAAAAGCATCCTACCCTCGAAAGACATGACTACATCCTTAAAGACATGTCTGAGCCCTGGAATCTTAACTCCTATAAGTGCACTCGTCTTCCAAAGACGCTTTGGAAGGTAATATACTCTGGTACCTAATCTTAATAAGATCTATTTATAGGAGATCTTATTGTGTCGGATAGTACCCGTATAATTAGAGATGAATTAGAGCTAAAGCAAGTAATCGAAGCACATATTGACTGGTGGAGCCGCTAACCAAGCTGCTTTCTATCAGTATTTAGTAATGAGTAACATGCTCTTAATTGGGCGAAGCAACGCGAGAAAACATAATCCGAAGTCTATATTTATAAGATAGACACGACGAATCTGCTAACCGATACATATCTATTTGATGTAGACTCGCTAAAGGCCACGTTAGGCTTTATTTATCTAATATTAACCCATGAATTTTTATTCCTGCACCGTATTACGGCTCAGGCTATAGTAAGCAAAAGAGATCTGGGAGAAATCTGGGAACAAGGTACGTAGACTTTATTACTAAAGGCAAGATTCATTAAACTAATAATATATAGAAGCAGATGCTCAATATTATGCCGCCCGTTGATTCGACCCGAACTACTATTGGGTTAATGAATTACACGGATACTATGATTCTGATAAAGAGTGCGAGGAACGCAATAGATGCGATGATTTACTTAAGATAATGGAGGGAGATTGGGACTGAAAATGTATAAAATGATCAAAATTTGATAATGATAATAGTGACATATGCAGAGAATCAGCCGGCGCTTGTGAGGAAGGACGTTGGTTAGATATTATGAATTTGGAAGTACCGGGTGGATCGGTTACTGGAAATATTCATTCTATTTATTACATTTCATTCATATTAAGCGGCTGCTACATGACACATTGGTACGCATGCCATCTATAGATTATGAGAACCACTGGACTCCTGCGTATGAATTTCGTAACCTCCCATCCGACTAAATCATACTGGAATAGTCTAGTATTATATAGCCCCACGTTAATAGCTCTATTAAATGAAGCTGGGCGCTGTCTAATTGTTGAACAGACACATATCCGTAGTCGTCCTGCTAAAAACGATTCTTTTTCCTCTCTTTCTTTGTTATTCCAAACCCCTAATCATCTGCTTCCACTTCGCGTGTATTATTGGGCTAGTTAAACATAACGTCTCTCAAAACTTCTGCGGCAAAATCACTATGGCTCTGTAGTAGTGCTATAAACTCGCCGCGGTCGAATAGGGCTTTGGCATTTTCGCTCGCCTTCCGAATTATGACTTCTCGCAGTATCCGATCACTCTCTAGGGTCTTCTCAAAGACGAGGCTAGTACTTTCTATAAAGGAGGGACTATTCCACGTTGCGGGCAGCACCTCTTTGTACTTAGCCACAGCCTACTCTTTTAGTGCCTGAATATCGTATTTGTCTGCTATAATATAAATTTTTGCGTTAACTAGCAAGGATAAAGAGTTGAGCCTAGTAGGTTGTTCCGCGGTAGTAGCCCTATCCATGGCGGGAGTGCTACCTGTACCCTCCTGAAACTTGAATATGACTGGGTGAGGTATTGAATTGTGAGGCCCGCTAGTTGGAGGCTGGTCTTTAGTGTCGAGGCGATTGTTGTCATAGTCTAGACGGTACAGAAAATCGATCATTTTCGCCATAATAGGAGGCTTTTTCTCGTCGAGAACAATCTCTTACAAGACAGCTTCCTATTTCCTGAGTTAGCTTTATGTTCGTCCTATCTTTAAACTCTGATCTCAGTACCGTACCTTGAATACGCCATTGATAGTAGCAGAAAGCACCCGCGATCTAGGATAGATAATTGCACGGTGTGCGCGAATGATACCACCGTTACTATAACGTATCGTGAAATCCGAGTACTTCCCTGATTGAAGGCTCTGATAGGTCAGTAATTAATACATAACTAGAGTCTTTAACCTACCTTCCGACGGAGTGCGCCAGCTATTCTAGCTGGCGCTGGTCGAATGAAGGCATTACGTAGACACCGTCGTCGTTAAGAGGAGGGCGGCGTATTGCAGGCCGTGTTACCGTAGTTATTTGGGTCCTTTGCTTTCTTATAGGTTTTTACACAGGTCGCTGGAGTCAGGCAAGTAGTGGTTAGTATATTTCGGCTTTTGATGTGACCGCAGGAGTAAAATGTCGTCGTTAAAATACATATCCTAAACTATTGCTAAATAAGAGGGTCTCTTATGGTAGTAAGTACTGGACTTACCTTGCATGTAATGAGTGCTAATTATGATAGTAACTATGAAGCATCTAGCAGAAGGTGTTGTTTGATAGCGATCCTGTTTGGCTTGTGACTGCCCGCATTGCCAGCGCATTAATTCGTAGCGGGAAACATCATGCGCACGTTCCCACAACGAACATGATTGGTCCCCGCAAGGTTGAATTTTTAGCGCGGCTCAACTCCGTGCTCACACAAACACTGCGTTTTAGGCCTCATCACGACTTTGCTTTAGCTCTCAACTAAGAAGCGACCCGCAGATCTCAATGGCTCTTAAGCTTTTCATTCCTCCCTGTATCCACAACCCGCGTCACTGTTTCCATCCCCTACCACCTACCAGACCACTAAGAATTCAGATACAAGGGCCGTTGAAGTCGATCCAGAAGCTTCTTCCGAAGATATTATGGCATAAGATTATGCCTTTTCCGCAGGCGGGAGGGTTAGAGCTTGCGAGCCTTACATATCGGGCATTATATGGCGAGGAGGGACTTAAGGAGGCTAACGGTATTCCGGTTGTGCGAGATGAGTATTTGGTATGGGTAATGGATGGAAGAACACCATTAGAGTAAGTGGCATTGCTAATAATATTACATGCTATCTGGGACCTGACTATTACTTATTGCTCTAGCTATATTGACTACTACGGAGTTACATTCGATTACCTTGTTCCTGCTAATGATCCAAACCCAGAAGTGCTAGCAATTAGTATTATTGAAGTGGATAACGACGGAGGAGCATTTGCTAACGAAGTCCTCTTATTTCAAATAGACCCGACAGAATATACAGGGAAGAAGGTCCTCGTAGTGCCGAGATGTTATCAGGTCAAGAAAGGCACGCAGGATCGTCAGAGGTGGAACGATTTGGTAGCTAAGAGGGATAGAGAGATTTAGAGATGTTTATAAAAGTATTAATACTATTTGCAATACTTCTCAAGGCGCTCTTGCGAACCGGGTATTAAAGACTTTGAGTTAGACGATCTGGCCTTGATATAAAGACTGCTTGCTAATGACTTGTAGGCGAAATATAACTCCACCTTCTATTGCGCCGAGAATGCTACGAACATTAATTATATCCGATTTCCTGCCTCCCGAAAACCAAATCCGAACTAAAGGAAATGAGAAACGATTCTCTATTCTTTCGTATAATAGTCTCATATCATCCGCGTAACCGGTGCCACTCGCACGTCGATTATTCGCGCCACTTCTGGCTCTGACTTCTCTGCCTCTTGCGCAGCAATTTTACGCTTGCGCCCGCGTTTTTTTCCCTTGACGACCTCTTTTGCAGTACGCGCCACTTCTGGCTCTGGCTCTGGCTCTGCTTCTACCTCTGCCTCTGCTCCTTCTGGCTCATCTGCCTCTAGCGTAGCACTCTTACGCTTTCGACCACGCTTCCCCTTGCCCTTGGCATCCTTCGCAGCACGCGCTGTTCGTGCCACCTCGATATCCTCAAAGCTCATCACTTTCGCCTTCCCCAGGACGATTGACCTAGTTAATCGGCGAACTTTAGCCTCGTTATTTATTCTGGTTAACATCTGGTTTCGATTATCGAGGAGGGCACATTCGGCACTGAGGAAGGCACGTTTGGCCAAGGATACCTGGGCGGCATGGGCAAGCTTCTGTACGTGCCGCTCTAGGCGCGGTATACTCGCCTTATTCAGTATATGAGCATCCTGTTTGATCAGATTCTGCAGTAATACTATACCCTCTACTAACACTGGCGTCACAGGCGTTGGTGGCACGTCGTCTTGATACGTTAGTAGTACGTCGTCTTAATGACTCGCACCCACCTCTATCTCGTCAGCCCTCGGAATAGTTGATTGAACGGGCGGCTTCGGTGTCACCCTGAGGACTCTGTCAGGATTAAACGGAAATAAACCACAGGCCGCCTACCCGGCCATGATATTTCTCTTCGTAAACGCCTTTTCTCTTGCACGGCTATATAGAGAGGTGAAATGCTGCTTGCCGACCGTGTTCGCACCTCCTTGGAATAGTCTTTCAGCCTCGTCCCGGTATTCGTCCTTCAAGCGGGTAAATACGCTGACATTACAGGGCTGCAGCTTGTGGGAGGTGTGAGAGGGGAGGCGATACAGGATAATACTATTCTCGAAACAAAACACTTGGGCTTCGAGGGTCTCGTGGCTCCCGAAGCCGTCACAGATCAATACCCGCGGCTTCTGGTTAGCCTGCTCTCTAGTTTGGGGATTAAACACGCGCTTGAGCCACTCTAAGCTAATCTTGGAGTCGGTGTACCCCGAGTTAGAGATCGCATAGTGCCATCCAGGGGTGGGGAATGTGGTCCAGTTACTTCGATGGGTAGTAGCTGGCCAAATAATCATAGGTGACAAGAACCTACCGTTTCCACTAATACACTTAATAGCGGTAACCGTTGTGCGCTTGACGACCGCGCCTCTATAGTCTCGCGGATCGTCCTTATCTAAAAGGACCTTGATAGAGCCAAGCATCGACAACATGACTCCCGTCTCGTCCATGTTATAGACGTTCTCTGGGAGGATGGCAGGATCTGCTAGTACCTCTCCGATTACCTCAAACCAATGTATAATCTTGTTATAGATACTATTCTCGTGGCGTTCCCAGGCCATCGCCCTCACTCGTCGTGATTTGAGTGCTGGATGACGCTTCTGGAAAGCTTGAGCCCAGTTCTTATTCGGAGGCTTGGCCGCTTTCTTTATCGTGGAACGCCGGCGGGCGATACAAAAGGCGAGGGATGGTAGACACTTGATTCGCACAGGATTCCCGAGGTCAGCCATTAGTTTCAAATACTTTTCGAGGGCTTTCTCCTCCGGCGGAGTGAGATACTGTTGGCCTTGGGCCTTCTCTTCTCTAGAGGGCCGCCCATGATCGCGATGATAAAGGGTACTCAGAGGAACTCCACTACGTTTGGATGTGGCATCATATGTTCGAGGCTCTCCCGGCAGGGAAGCCTCTGCCAGGGCTTTACTGGCGCGGTCGTTCATAAGGCATTACCCTCCGTACCTTACATGGAGATGGGGATGGGGATTGGCACGACGAGAGTGGCAACTCGGTGCAGGACTGGACGCGTGGCTTGTAGAACCTTCTAGAAGAACGCCACACTACGCCACCGTTCACGTGATATATAAAGTGATTTAGGATAAAATACGATTTACGTGGATGTGAATACAGGTATTGTGTAAAGGCGGTAAATCCTTCCTCGCTTATTAAAATGCGGCATTTGTGTACCTCCCACCTTTGTCCGGATAAACCCGGCAGGAAAGTTTCCTCATTCTCTGTGTCTTCAAACTTTGGAGCTTCATTTAAACGTAATAGAAGCTCTATACCACGGCCCCGAATTCCGAGGACAGGTTAATATTCATAATAGAACAAGGGGTAATAGCGATATCAGCTTTTGACGCTCTTAACGGGACGATTAATAGCAGAGCCAAACTGTAGTATTTTTCTAACTGCAAGTCAAGCCCTTATAGAGAAATAGCTAAAGAATAATAGCAAACAGATTATAACTTTATATATTTATGTGGTGGAGATTTGAGACCCCTAAACTATAAAAAAATTTCGGCACACCGGTTTTTTCGGCACGCAGGGATGGACGTTATTACTATTCCAAAATTTATAAAAGAAAATTATATTTAAATAGCCCTTAATTAGCGCTATAAGGAAATAGAACAAGTATTAAATTATATTAAATCCTTATTAAATTGAATTAAATTAAAGAAAAAGCCAGAGTTTTGGTGTTCCTGCCGAGCGCCTCTACTTTGGGTTAGTGGCTAGTCTGGCCCCCAATCGACACCCCCAATCGACCACCCCAATCGACATCCCTAATCGACACCCTGGGGGAGAGTTGGCACGGGTGTCGTTTTACATTTTCCCCGCATAACCACCACTCACGAGCCCATCCACTATTGACTGCTCCCTATTCCGGCTTATAATAAACCTTCGAGGGCGCCCGAACCCGGTTCCCACTCTCATCAACATATATCGTGCGGCTTCCTCTCCGTGATCTCGGCGATCTCGATGAATGGTGCGAACGCGGTCTTCTCGTCACTTCTGAAGTCGCTCTTGGACCTGGTGCATTGGAGGCTGCCCGCATGGTGTAGATCAACCACAGCACCAACAGCGTTCCTGCGATCGAGCCGATGACAATTCCGGCGATCGTGCCTCCTGAGGTGCCGTGACATGTCTGGCCGTCTGTGGCGCGGGCGTGGAGGGGAATAATCTATGAGCTTGTCAGCTAGGTGGTCGCAGGAGGCTGTTCTGACGGGGGTAAGGTTGTACGGACCATCTTTGAATTATGGTTTTCAAATTTGGAAAAATGAGAGGAAATGTTATTCTTTGGGGGTGAGGGGCAGCAGATTCATTTGAATGATGGGTTTAGCCAATAAATCAAGAATTCGATATCTTGAAGGTGGTTGTGATGTTTGCAGGGGTTGATTTGAGCGACGTCACTGGCTTTTCGGCACGGCGGGTGGCGGGGTAAGACGCTGCAAACCTGAATAGGGGATGATTGGTCCGAGAGGACACAGTTATTGTGCATTTTCTTTCTCAATTGGACGCAAGTTGAAGGGAACATGCAAAAGCAGGGAAGCTGTTCTGCATGACGGCGGTAGGTCCGGCATCCTTGCAGTAGATACGATCCCCATTAACGCCCTGACAACAACATGTTCAACGGACCCCATCTTCAAGGGCACGCCTTAAAATAAGTAGGAGGTGATGCCGTGCACATTACCCTCACTACTACTTCCTAAGACGACCAAGTGAATGATGTTCACCGGTCCTTCTTCAACAAACTGTGAACAGGATAGGCAGTCGAGGCCAGAATCTACTTCGCATGCGAACACAGATGGCTTCCCGCCTAGAGACCCAAAAGACCCCCACAACTGGTCCAGCGTAAGTGCATACATCTCAAATTGCCTTTAGCTGCTAGATTCTTCTCACTAACTTTTCACAGACCAAGAAAATAGGCATCGTCCTAATCCTTCTCAACACTGTCTTCAACAGCACCATCAGCTCCACACTCCCAAGCGGAAATGCAGCCGCCATCACTTCCGCCTTCCAATTCCACAATAACACGCTGCTAGTCCTCCTTACATCTATTTATCTCCTGGGTCATGTCTTCGGACCGCTCGTGTTCCCACCGTTGAGCGAGGTCTACGAACGCAGAACGGTCCTCCTCCCCACGTTCTTTTGCTTCACGTCTTTCACACTAGGATGTGCACTCGCTCAAAATTGGAACGCTTCGGTGGTACTAACGTTGCTAACAGGACTTGTGGCTAGTGCACCAATTACGATTGTCCGTGGTGTGTATGCGGATATTTATGAGCTGGACATTACGCAGATCACGGCATAAAGTGACGGTAAATTTACTCTTAGCGAATCTTCCCCTGTAAGCACAGGGGATATGCCTCAAAAGGGTGTGGTGCCCCATGTTTGTGGCTTACAGCGTCCTTTCAGGGCAGTGGCCTGGAAATATAGGGGGCTTTAGTGGTGGAATCGGTTAGAAAGTGGCCTGAAAGTGGACTTGTAGTTCAAATGCCCTGTAGTCCAGCACTCCCGTGAGTGCCCGACGCATGTGTTCATAAGATCACTGGCGCTCACGGACACAAGGAGTTTCGCCTACCTTCATAACCACGCGACTAACTCTGCCTTAGGCACGATACACAAATAAATAATACTACTACTACTACATAAGCACGCAAGTTTATCCTCTATTCCCCCTCTCCCTTCTACAGCCTACTTACCCCCTGTAGAATGGCTTCTCTTCCATCCGCCGCCGCCGCTGCCGCCTACCATCCCGCGCCACGGCCGCTCTCGTGACTACATGCCTAGTCTTTTTCAACGTGCGCTGGGAGCTAATCGCTTAGGGTGGTCCGACCGCACGATAATTTTTGAACTTCTTGGGAGAAGATAAGGTGGTGCGCGGAGCGATTGGTGGCCTGACCTCGTAAGGACAAAAACGCACACACCTGGGTCATTAGGCACAGCCTTGCCGGAATGACAAAACTTCGACTGAACCACTTGGGGATTATCTGATGATTGAGCGACTATTCCTTTAGAGCACCCACCTACAGGCCACTTTCACCACGCTATTTAAGTGTACTCAACGCCTCCTTCTTGGTTCCATCACGTCGAACCCCGAATCCAGTATCCTTAGAGGATGGACTCGACTGGTCATACACAAAGATCTCTTCTCGATCCTACTCTTCTCAATCAAAGGGAATCCCAATATGCTATCCCTGAGCTACATACAGGTGCCTTAGAAACCTTTGATCGCCCAACCATCCTGGGTCCAGAAGCTTCTCCAATCGATTTCCATAGTCTCGGTCCATTAGAGCCTCAATATGCCATCCAGCGGTTCCCAGCACATTCTTCGGTCTTTCACGATAGCCTGACATATGGAGACATGCAAATGCCTACTACTGATTTCAGCACTGTTGGTAACATACAGACCCAAGAGGTCCCTACTATCACGGAGGATATACTGGACCGTTGGAGTTACATCGCGACAATTGGGGATACGATGGAGTGGGAGCCTGATCCGCCACCGAAACGAAAAAGGATCCACCGGAGCTTTTCCTCCTCTTCTGAAATGACTGCACAAGTCCGGAAAATAGCAGCTTGTATGAGGTGCCGTACGCAGAGAATACGGGTAAGTTTACTCTTTCTCTTATCACCAGCGTTTGCTGCATATGTACCATGCTCGGCGAAAAAAGTCTCGCCGCGATCAGTGTATATATATTTTAAATTTATTGAGCTTGTTTGTGAAGCTTACTATCTGTAACTTTCGAACCAAGCACGGTAAAGGTGATAGCATATATGGCTAACAGTTTGCAGTGTCACACTAACCCAGAAAACGTTTACGGCGAATGTCTCACATGCGAGCAAATTTCATCCAAGTCTTTCTTCAAACTCCCGTGCCTACGGTATACAGTCAGCGACTCCCATTTATCGTGGGCGGCCAAAGATCCCCCAGCCGATGTCCTTGTACTCGCTCAAGACTCTCGCTCGCTGAGTCGGTATATCGCTGAGTCTTCGACGGACTATGTAAATACATTCATGAAGGCAAAGGACAGCATTACCCGAGCTGTATTCTCATTAGCATGTGGTCGATGGGCTCCGGCAACCGTAAGTATCACCTTATTGTTGAGTTAGATCTAATATCTTCTCATAGGAAAGTCTAGTGCAAGTTTCGCTGCGTTTATGGACTGTCACCCGTCTTACTGAAGGCAATCACTCCAATGACGACACCCTAGTGGAGAATGCGACACCGGTACCAGGGGCGCAAGAGGCGGAACCTATGGTTGAGGACATTGATACGTTGACTTGCAATGAGGTTCTTGATAAACAGACCCAGAAACTCGTCCTAGCTACAGGGAAGCAGCTACAGACTCTGCATCAGCAGAACCGTCCAGAGAATTGGCTAGCTCTGTTCATTACATCTTATGTTCTGCTCCATAATCTTGAAGCAATAATTAAGAGAGAGAGGGATCATGCACGTCGCATTCGTCACAAAGTATGTCCCTTCTCCCAAAACATGACAAGATACCTACTAATAAGTGGTGCGCAAAAGCGATGTTATTCAGACATAGAAGTCATAAACGGTTGCCATATTAGCTCGAAGACAATTCTCGCATATTTCCATTATTGCTGTAAAGGCACAGATCCTTTCTCCGACGCGAAATTATTTGAAAATGTCAAAACGCTCAGCGTAAAGGAACGTGCTTTTATGGATTTCCTTGCGGCAGAACTTCGAACCAAAAGTAAGCTCAATTCTTCCATATCTAATAAATTATTGAAGATATTGACACATGGTAGGAGAAGAACTTGTTGCTGTCTCTAATTCGCACGAGTATGATCAGGACTTTTGGTTGATTGGTCAGCTGTTTGATAAGAGGTGGGCGCCGAGGACAACGTTGGAAACTGCATTGCCCCAGACTACTTGCTGAAGGGGACTTGTGCCCTTCTCTGACACTGGAGCAGAGTATCTACAGCTTAGTATGTATTGTGCCATAATTCTCGACCATTTGACTTGTTCTATACTATAACTAATTCCATGTTCACTTGAAATTGTAAACTTATTCCTATAGAAAAGCTAACGATTCCTCATCTATGCGTACCCTCAAACATCTGTCTCTGTAGACATGCCTTAGAGAATTCGAAAATCTCGGATGGATTCTCTATCAAAAGTATGCGAATCTCCAAATATGATTCCTACTCCAATTCTCCTATGAGATTGCCCATCTGAAACGGCGTCAAGCAACAAAACTTCATGAAAGGAAGCTTCAATTGTAGAATTGCCCAATGAAGAGTCCTTGAAAGGTGATGAAAAAGAAATTATTAAACATTCGATTTGGTGTTGTAAACATGAGAACGACGTGTAGTCAAAGCCTGCTATGCCGGCAGGCTGAGAGCAAGCAGCATCCGCGAACAAACGAGATGGCGTTTTGAGACCTGAGTAATACCACTGAGCGTTGTCCTGATTGAGTTTATTGAGTCTTGTTGAGCTTGGCGTATAATTGCTCTCATCGCACGAAGATCTTGAGATATAGACCTGAGTGCTTCGGCCGGACAACACCAGCTCCCCTTTCGTGATGCGGGAAACCAAGGGAACCCCGGCCCACTCAATGGTGCAGGTGTTGACTTTTGTCCTATATCCTACGTATCTCTTGTTTCTGAAAGAGGTTCCAGTCGGCGATATCTTCTTCTCGACGGGACATCGTTCGATGGATCCCTCTATCGAAGCCCAAGACCATGATGGTATGTCAGAGCTCACCGGTGATTCAACCGGTTCACGAACATGCCACATAAGCCCAAATAGAAGGTCTTCTTGCCACAAACCAGCCAAAGGGGAATCTCCAGTACGAATCTGAAAGAACTCCGTCAATCCAGCCAGTGCTGGCAATCTATCACGTCGATGGGTGAGACTTCGTCTGCTGTATTCTTCGACAATCGTCCACCAGTAGTCTCGTGATATGTCTACATCCCACCATTCGACCTTTGAGGTAAGATTTCCCACGAGACCGAAGATGCGAGATTGGCGCCAAAGATTCCCGCTGCCGTGTTTCTCGTTTCCATCTGTGATGACATTGTTGACAAGCTTATTGTCCAGGAGGCCATCTTCGGAGGCTAGCCTGCTCGAGTATTGCCAGTACATTTGGTCCTGAGCAAAGTGAATAACCCGCGATGAGAGTAAGAGTTCTTGCAATACCCATGCACGTTGATTGAGAGGCGCTTCGAGAATCGACTGACGCAGTGTGGATTCTGTTGGTAGCCTGCGAACATGGATTGTGGTGTCAGGAGACTTGTTAATCCTAACGTTGAGAGAAGACAGCTGGCGTTTGAAGCAGCAGCCTTGCCTGCTATCAGCGGCGGCTGTCGCAGCGAGAGCAAGTGTTGCATTCTGATAAATCCGAATCATATTCGCCGATTCAGATTCCCAGTCTACTGCATCTCCTTGAAGTATACATAAGCTGTCAACCCAGAGATAGCGAATTCCCAGCCCTCTGGTGATGTAAATTGCATCCCTGAATGTCTTCGGGAGTGACAGTAGAGAGATATACTTCAGGTTTTGTTTCAGGGTTTCACTGTTGGTTACAAATGGTTGGTAGTTACCCCAACAATGCGACAAGACCACGTAGCTGCCATAACTGCCGTTGGGTTCTAGAAGATATGGCGCTCTCGATCCATTAGACGGACCAACATCAATCACCCTACTAGGCAGCTGGAATTTTTTTCTTGGCGGCTTGTCATGACAGGAGTAGTGGTCAACGGACGAATAGCACTCCTTGAGCCATTTTGACATTATAGGGAGTAGAGCCCCAACACTTGAAATATTGTAGTGATCCCAGACTGGCGACTCTGTCCAAATGCCTAAAATCTAGTCAGTGACAGTTACCTGAGCATCACAGGCACCTCAAAAAGATCGATTGTTGCTGTAACCATTCTCGAAGGACAACGCAGCGAAACAATGGACCAATAACTTCTAGTTTGTCAAAAGCCATTTCCACGATTTCTGCTGAACCTTGTACGGTGAAAAGAGCAGAGCTACTTACTACCCTCTTGGCAGAATGCTATCTTATGCGACACAACAGGCTATTCGACGACCGGCTGTAGTACGGAAGCTTGCAGGGACAAGTTTTCGGAAATGTGTGCCAGCCTCGCGGCAGCCCACAGAATTCCCGGTGACTCGGTATCATCCCACTGATCCAGAATAAGCTGAGCTTTGTTATTTACAGAGGATACCAAAGAAGCATTGACATGTCTGTTATTATTCCCAGTCTCAACAAATGCTCGTAAAGAACAGGCTTCAGCCTTGTGAATATATGAGGACAATGACAGAGAGGATGCGGATGTTAAGGGCGCAAAATATTCCTTTAACCGCTCCTGACAGGCATTGCACAAGGTCCTAGACATGTTCGATCTTCGCTCTTCATATGTGTTGTAATATAAACACTGAAAAAATGAATAAGATTATCACCCCAAAAAAACGCTGCCGCACCTGCGTTCCAGATGCGGCTAGTGCATACATCCCTCACTGCCCGAGTGAAGCTTGCGCCCGATTGCAATGCCCCTTTTAATTAATTAGTATAACGATAACAAGCATTTTTCTTATGGAAGAAACTAATAGTTATAGTATAATATACAAGTAGTAGCTCCTCATTTTCTGTTTAGAGAAATACCTTATTACGGGCAAGTCTATATAACATTATTATACGGTCGGACCACTAGTTAAAATTCCTGGTCATATATTCTCACCTAAGCAGGAATACCAAAACTTCCAGCCCATGCTTCGCTCTAGCCTTCTTTTCTCCGGCCAGTAAGCTTTCTTTTATAATGAATTCCTCTTCCCGTAATTTTTATACGAGTTATATATAATATCGTTTCTTCTCTTAATTTCCTCGTAATCCTAATAGCGTGGTATATAAGACGTATCTATATTATAGGGTTTCTCTCTCTTCTTTCTTCTTTTCCTATAGCTAACTTCTTTTTAGGCTAGCCAGAGAATATACTAGCCTGCTCTTGCTAAGCTCGATCCTAATACGCCCCGGCAGACCCGTAGCGGTCTATAATAGCCAGTTACGGGCGGGGATGAGAACCTATGGCCCCGCAAGTATATTCGGCGGACTAATATATAAATTAAACGAGACCGTATTCTGGCCATAGCAAATCCTCCTGCTCCTCCTATTTCTTCTAGCCCTTCTCCTTTACTACCCGGCTTCCGTTTGCTCTTTCGGTTTTCGCTAGCCTATAATCTTGGCCTAATAAATATTTAGTACAAGAATTATAAGGCAAGGTACTAGGGATTAGAGGCAATTACAGGCATATATTAGAGATTTGAGCTCTATTATAAGAGGGGAGATATAATATTAGACGAGTTATGAGTACTACTACCCTTTTTACAGGCACTTTTTGAGAAAGATAATCTATAAGCCCGTAGCTTTTATTAGAATATAAGGATATATAACTTAGTACTTGCTTTTATATCTATAAGCTATATTAAAGATATTCGTACTAACTTTTCTTATAGTCTTTACTATTTTCAGATCTATAAGAAGCTATTTTATTACTAGAGACCTTTAGAGCCAGGCTTATAGTAAGTTCTAGTTTTTGCCTAGTTATTTTTTTATAATCCAGACTATATAACTAATCTCCGGTTATAGTACTATTCGTAACTCAATTAAACTATTATTTATAGTCTTTATAAGATACTTGCGAATTATAGTAATTCTTTTATATAGATCTATAAAATAGCCCGGAAGTAATTAGCTAGCTAAACGGGTTACTTTCGGATTTTTCTTAACTTATAAATATATCTAATTCTCTAGTCTGGGGCAGATCATTACTATAAGAACCTTCCTATAGCTATAGAGCTAATAGGAATTCTTCTAAATAAGTTTATAGACGAAAATTAATATAATATTCTTTTTATAATCTATAAGCCTAGCTATTAAGGTCCGTAACTTTACTAGATAATTATTACCTATATAATATATATACTACTTTATTATATATTTCTTTTCTTATATAATAAATATAAGTAATACTATAAAATAATCTTATAAGATACTCGTTATATCTATTAATAGTTCTGTTTAGAATAATAGCTTTTTTACTAGTTCCGTTTATATATTTGTAATTATAAGAAATTTTCTCTTTTTTAGGCTTACTAGCTCTTTTAGTAATATATTATAGATACTTTTATTACCTATAAGACTATATTCCTTAATTAGCTCCGTTTATATTAAGATAGGATTTATATAAATATATATAATAGTTTAGTAAATACCTTAATTTATAAAGATATCTTACTAGCTAATCTAAGCTATTAATTTATTTTTTCTTTTTCTTTTATAAGCGAGAATTAGTTTATATAATAGCTTTTCCAGAACTTAATAGCTATTATTTATTATTTTAGAAAGCCTATTTTTTTTATTACTTTTATAATAAACCTATAATAGCCAGAAATTATCTAGGAGTTAGGTAACTTATAATCTATAAATTAGCCAGATCTAATTACTTATATATTTTAACTCAAGGTTTATAAGCTTTTTATAGACCTAAAAAACCATATTTTTGGATAATATATAAGTTATATTTATATAATTAAATACTAAAAATAAGGGCTTTTATATTTATATTTACTTTTATTTCTATAGGTATTTAAAAAGTTTAATATACCTAAATATATAAATAAGGTTATATATACTAAGCTATTAGATCTATTATAGGATTTTATAAGTAAACTCCTGGCCTTAGTTATAGGTAATATAACCTATAGTTCATATAGGGAAAACTATATATAGGCCCTATATATAGTCTATAAAGAAGCCTATAGCCTATTAATATATTTTAAGAAGTTCCTAAAAGCTTTTATAGACTATACTATAATTAATAAAGATAGCTATCCCGAGTACTACTATTAAAATAATAGACAAATATTTATAATCCGTAAACTAGGCTTTCTAGGCTAGAAAGTTATCTATAATAATTACTAGGTTATTTTATATAACTCGTATTTCTTTTAAAAGTTCTATTTATATATTAATATTAAGGTTTATATATTTATATAAGTAATTAAATATATTTATAAGTATATATATAAAGAAGCAGACCATACTATAATTATAGTTATAGCTATAGATAATAAGATTACTCGGTATATATATATTTATTATATGAGTTTATCTAAGGCTATTTAGTAGCTATTTAAATTTTTTATATATTAGGAGTTCTTTTTTATTTAGTATTTTATAATTTATTTTAAGAGAAAATAAATAGTTTACTTTTCGAATAATATCTCTCCTATAGCTCTAGTTATAAAGACTATAAATACCTATTTAATACTAATAGCCTTTTTTAAATATAATATTATATATAAGAATAGCTAAAGATATTTATATTCCGAGTTTCTGGCCAAGTTTATATAGGTTTTAAAGACCCGGGAATAGAAATATTACTAGTAAAATAAAAGTAAGTAAATTAGTTATATATATTATTATAGCCCTATTTTAGGCAAATAATACTACTTATAGCTTTTACTTATAGTTATTTATAGCCTATAGTTTTTTATAGATCTATATTAGTTAAAGGCATCTATTATTTAATATACTAGGCTATCTATATTACCTATAGCTTAGTAGAAAATAACTAGAAGTAGTATTAGTATTTTAATAAGGCTATCCTATTTATATTTATAGGTAGTTTATAAATATTATTTTTGACTAGCCTTTACTAGTAGCTAATTATAGACCCGTTAATAATCTGGAACTAGTATAAGTACTATTTCTATAATAATTTCTAATATTAGCTTACCTATAATAGTAGTTTCCTATTTCTATTTCTTAATTCATACTATAATTATAGCCTTTTCTTACTTATATATAGGCTTATAAACTAGTAGTAATTACTTATAGATTACGGGCTCTTGTCTTTTATCTAGGATTAGACTAGTAGGTATTATTTCTTATTTATATTATATATTCTCAAGAATTAGGTATTACTTATAATTATAATATAAATCTAGTTTAATTCTAATTAGTAATTATATTTTATAAAGATTATAATAGCTATTAAATTAGATTTATAAATAGCTTACTTCTATTTATAAAGGCTAGAAATATAGGTAAGATATTCTTATATAAGGTATTTTATTATTACTTTTATAGGCAAGAATAAATAGTTCTTTATATAGTATTTATAGATATTATAGCTCTTTTATTACTAAACGAATATATATTTTACTTTTAGTTTAAAATTTTAATTAAGCTTTATAAATTATTTATAAGTTTTATTATAAAATAAAATATCTTTAGATAGATTTTCTAGTCTATAGATCTTATTATCTAGAATAAGATACTAATATAATACAAGTACTATTTTAAAGTTATTTACTAGTTTTTAGTAAATTTATAGTCTATAATAAATAATATTTTCTTTAGAGAAATATCTATAATTTTTAGTAAAAACTTTACCTAGATTCTTCTAGTTATACTATATGATTTATAAGCAGATATTATTACTATATATCTTTAATAATTATTTATTTAGCTATAGCTTAAATAGCTCTACTTATAAACTAATATATAGGTTTATAAAAGCAAGAATAGCTAGGAATTTATTTACTAGATTAGTAAATTACCTAATAATTTAGACCCTAATAAAATAGTAGTAATTCCGGACTATATAAACTAGCTAGTATTAATTACGGATCTAATTAGTTATATTTATCTTCTAGATCTTTTTTTCCGGGCTATTATAAATCCGTTAATTTTCTATAAATAATATCTCTTAATTATATTAAATATTATAGTTTTAAAGCTTAATACCTATATTTTTAGATATTTATTAGGCTAATTATAGATATACTAATTAGTAAATTCTCTAGATACGAATAAGTTTTTAGGTAATAACTTATATAAACTATTTATAAAGTAGCTATAAAGTATTAATTTCCTTTTCTTATTACTATTTTAGCTTATTCTTAAAATTAGAGCTTCGGTATTACTCTTATAGAACCTATATTTATAAGAGGATTTATATAATAAGACCCGAATAATAATTATAAGTTTACGAGTATATTATATTAAGGCCTACTTATTTAGAAAAGATTTTAATAGCTAGTTATAAGTAATTCTATAAATTAAGCTATTTATTATAAATACTAGCCTAGGAATTACTTTTTTTTGGAAATAGTTCCCGGTTTATTTATATTTTATAATAACTATTAATAAGTTATAAGATTAGTTCTTTTATATTATTAGTTTGGACTTATAAATGCCTGTATTTATTTATAAGTAGTTTTATATAGGAATTTCCTATATATTATTTATAAAAGGCTTAAGTATTCTTTTATTATATAAGAATTTATTTAGAATACTTAATATAACTTATCCTAAGATCTTAGCTAATTTACTTTAGTATTTTATTTCTTATAGGTTACCTTATAGGTACTAGATAGCCTTATAAGTTAGGTTAAGAGATTTAGGAATTTATAATTATTTATAATTATTTATAAGTATCTATATTTATTTATAAGTAACTTGTAATTATTACTTTAAATATTTTAGGGCTCAAATAAACTAAAAATATTATACTATTAGATATTAAAAGTATATATCTTTTCTAGGTAATTCTTTATAGGATTTATAACTTCTTATTTTACTTATTCTCTTTTCTTTTCTTTTCTCTTTCCTTTTCTCTTTTTTTCTCTTCTTCCTTTTTCTCTTTCTTTTCTATCTTTAGTATTAAGTAATTCGTTTCCTTTTTTTTCTCTAATACTTCTGCTTCCTTTTTATAAAGAGCTACTAGCTCCCTATAAAGCTTAGCGAAATAGTATATCTTCTGAGAAAGAGTAAATAGGTAATAATAGTAAGAAGTAGTAAAGTAGTAAGCTATTTATATATTAGTTATAATCTATAATAATTTATAGTAAATATATATATATAAAGATAATTTACCGGAAGTAACCCGGTTACTTATATAACTACCGGGAGTAACCCGGTAAAGCGGATATGAGTTAATAGTAATAGGGGCAGGAGCTAGAGCTAGAGCTAGAGCTAGAGCTAGAATAAGAGAAGAAGCGGCAGCGGTATCTATAAATACCCGTTAGGTTAGTTATAATCTATAAAAGATTAGTAAACAGGTATAAAAAGTACTTATAGAAAGAATAATAAGTACTTTTATTACTATAATAGTAGTTAGTATAGCTTCCTCTAAACTAACTAGCTATAATCATATATACTATCTATATACCCGACCCGCTAGTATAATATATATACCCGGTAGTATAAACTTAACTAACGAATTAGCCAAGCTTAGCCTCCAGGTTAGTAGGCCGGGCGGGGTTAGTAGTACGGCTGGGCCGCAAAACAGGCACCTGTAGTAGAGCCAGTAAAGAGAGTGCCGTCATGATACGGGTTAGGCAGGCGGGCAGGGCAGGCAGGGCAGGCAGGGCAGGCAGGGCAGGCAGGGCTGGTACTAGTACTACTACTACTGGTGCTGCTGCTACTGCTGGTGCTAGTACTGGTAGTACTAGTACTAGTGGTGGTAGTGGTAATAGTAGTACTAAAGCTGGAGCTATAGCTGGGGCTAGTACTAGTACTGCTAAAGCAGCGGGAGCAGATGGGAGAGAAGATATTCTACGGACCATAAGGAGCGTTACAGGCCAGGGGCAGGCCCGTAGCGGGTATGGGGTTGACTTACGTATGTATATATATATTTATTAAAGGAAAGAAGCTTTGGAATTCGAAATTAAAACCTACCTTATTTAGCTTATCTGGAAAATTTTTAGCCTTTAAAAAGTGAATTTTCAAAGTGAATTTAAAGTCAGTAAAGCTAATATCCCTTAAATAAGTGCCTGAGGCATCTAATTAATCTCGAATCAAGATCAGGGCAAAATTAAAGCCTGGCGGCCCTACACAAGCTTCGGGGCCAGTCTTTAATTTTAGCGAAGCGGCCCAGATCTCGTTATCTCAAATTATAATAGAAATTGCTATTACCCCGCTACTAAAAACGCTGCCGCTCGCAGCAGCGTACTTAAGGAAATTACCCCTTGTTCAAAAAATTTGGGTAGAGGGGTGGGTAATGGGCTAACTAATAAGGATCCCGTACGCTTAATTAATTGCTTGCTAATTAATTACTTATTAAGTAGTTTCCTTAGTTCCTTTACTACTAATCTTTATTACTAGTAAGGAATATATGGCCATTCCCCAAATAAGCTATACCAGTGGGGAATATATGGCCATTCCCAAATGGGCGATACCAGTGAGGGATATAGCTATTCACGCATGGCACGTGTGTGCACGTGACACAGCAGCGTTTATTTTCGGAATGAATGAATCGCAACGTCTCCACCAACTTGAACTTATTGTATGCAACACACCAGTCCACCGGTCTCACCCGGAGCCATTTCAAGTATATAAATTCTACCTTTTCGTCCAAATTATCGAAGTCCCATTCAACGCACGCAACCACCTTCATGTTCTTCTGAAGCCGCAGAATCGGGACGAATTTGGCTTCGTAATCTCCTGCAAGAACTGGAAGATGTAGGAGAGGTTGGCTCTGATTTTGCGGAGCCCAGGACTTAGTATGGTGGAAGAACCTCTGCTCAGGAAGGGCGAGACCGTGCATGGTGCGCGCTGGGAGGAGATGTGAGGCGAGAAGGCTTTAGGATTGGAGGCGCTTGACGAGCTTATGGAAATTGGCTGTTTTATTATCCAAACGATTAGCTGCTAAGGCTCAGCAATTAGACTAGCGAGAAGGTGGTTACCAATGTAAAAAAAAACATCCTCATCAGCATACCGAATCAATCCACCATTGCCAGCATGCAAATGGTGCTTGAAATTCGAGAGGAAGACTTCGCTAGATTCGGTACATGCACTCAACAAGGCAATCTCCTTGATCGATGCGCTATGAATGTTGTCCAGCAGCGTGAACTTGATGTAGCCCTTGTTCTTGAGTCTGTGTTTTTCGATTGAGTATTCACCGGTCACTCAGAGCATACGCTGGTCGATGGGGAGGAAGTCAAAGCGAGTCTGAATATCTTGGGATGGATTTCTGGAGAAACTTTGGGGAACAGCGTGAATTCGATGAGTGATTTGTAGGTAGCTGGCATATTGACCGCTCTATTTCGCTTTGTGTCCTTTGATCTCTTGACTGTAGATTGTGAGAATTAATGTACGAAGGGACGTGATAGCTCGTTCGAGGTTGTCTGCGGATCTGGTTTCAAAAAGAGGCCATGTCCAATGTGCATTCTTGTTGTACCTCATAATGGATCTGTTTTCTCTAAATTTCTGCATTTGGTGAATTACCTTCTTGAGTCAGATGTCGAAAGTGAATCGGATGGGTCTGTAGCGACGCTTTTCAGGTCTGCAGTCGATCTATGGAAAGTTAAACGTATTCCATACAAACGAGGTATCAATGGCTATTCACCACGTATTAAATATAGATTTCGTCATATGATTTCTTCGATCTCGTCGTCTCCAACTCACAAAAACCCCGAACTCGCCGCGTTCCACAAGCCACAACAACCACTGCCTTTCGGTCTTGCAACCCACCACAAACCAAGCATGGCTACCCAAGGCCCAGCGAGCGATTTCACAGCTGCGATTCAACCGCTTCTGGAGGATCTCGCCCTTGCGGACCCGCAGCCAACCTTTACACTCTTCCCGAAGCTTCCCCCTGAGTTGCGCCTGAAGATCCTCAAAGACGCGTTACCAGTCGGCCACAAAGGACGTCGTTTCATTCGAGTCAAAGCCAGGATCGGTGCTCTATCACCGCGCTCAAAGGATCCCTGCTGGTTCATTGTGGACAACAACGCATATTCGCCAGATGTCAAGGATATCGGCATCCTGGGTGTGAACAAAGAGTTTCGTCACGTGTATCTCCGCCACTTTGACAAGACCTTGAAAGCAAAGGGAGTAGGACTCATCAGATACCATGAGAATGATATCATATTCATCTGTAAGTACTCTTGTGTCAGATTCAGGTCACTCTTCTCGCTGGCCACATCGTCAACCATCTATTCGTCATTGGAAGAAATAATACTGACTCTTTGTTCTCGTTAGCCAACGTCGACACACTCATGTGGAACAGATCGTTGCGCGCCGTTATCAAAGCGGGCTCTCGAATCGAGGATCTCTACAATTCCTGCACCAACATCGCAGTCCCCGTAAAGTACGTCATTGATTACCATGATAACCACACGAAGTGGTTCGGAGGTGACGCGCATGTATGCCCTCTCAAATTCGTCGGCCCGTTCAGGAAGCTGAAGACGGCGGCGGCTGTGCTCAGTGAGAGCGACATAGAGAAATATTCGGGGTTGTTGGGAATTACGCCAGACGAGCTTCGATTGAGATGGTGGTGTTTTCTGAGTCATGCGTGAGTTGATTATATATATCTTTCCACTAATTGGGACAAAGAAGCTGACTTAAACCCTTAGGGAAATGAATATGAGGGCATGCAAGGAGGCGGAGGAGACTGGCAGCGGAAAGGCCGCCCCGGCGCTATTGCTCTTGAATGAGGATGGGGAAGTCGTGGAAGGAAAGAGATGTACAGAGAACAAATGTTTCAATGAGGAGTGACAGGACGAAAGAGGCATGCTTCTCGGTGAATGTCTGGAAGAGACATGGACACCTCCCATCACGGTTGATATGATGAACGGTAATAGAAAGATTCGATTTGTCCTCGTACAGATTAGAGAATTGAGACAATTCTTCTATGTGGCCCTGGTGCCACTTTTCGCTTGTGAGGTTCAAGTCCCAATGTCGATCAGAACGTTTCCAGCCCCACCTTCCCCCCCTCCCCCTCTGAACGAAGCCCAAATTTGTGAAGAAGAAGACACAAAGAGATAATTATAGAGTTGGTAGTTTCACATTACAGATTTGATTCCGAATGAATAATTTCGTTATTAATAGTCAAATTCTTGAAGTGTTCCAAGTGAAATACGCTAACGAGGGCACGCACTTCCACTAACAGTGCCGCAGCTTTAAACACTAAATTAGCACCGCGCACGCTCTCCAAGGCTCACTTGATTTCGTAAACTTAATAACTTTACAACCACGTAATTAAATTAGACCAGATTTCATACATGTATAGTAAGTATATAGGTCTTAAATACTCCTAGGCCTGTTATTATTTAATAATATGATTAAGAAGTTATTAGTATATTAGTAAGAAACTATGGGTTTTTGGGCGTTTTTCTCGGGCACATGCGAACCCTACCAAAAATCGTCCAAAACCACGTTTCGCGTTATAATCTACCACCTCTTAATTTAAAAGCTTCCCCACATATAGGGAGCTTTTTTTATATATATAATAGCTTCTATTGGATGCGGCAAGGTTTAAATTTAAGCATATTGAATTAAAGTTATGCACATGCGAACACCAAAAACTAATGAAATCTCGATTTTCTAATAACTTAATACTGACTTATATAAAACTAATAAGACTCATAATATAGACTAACTAGAGTATGCGCTTTTGCTTTATGAAAACAGATTTATGATTGAAAGCGTGGTTATTTAGTAAATGAAGGAAGGCAAGACGGTGGAGCATGGGGGGAGGATTTGATGTAAACGGCGCTAAATTTGCGTTCTAAAGCTGGTTTTTCAGGGCACTGCATTGTAGTCGTGATACACACCCCTCCACGCCCCTCGGGTAGTCGACCAAAATCTGGGTCGAAAATAAACGTTTTCTATAATAACTTCCATAAGAATCGCAATTAACTTTTTACAATTTATAAAGGGTAATTCTATCCACTTCGCATTATTTGATTTTATTTTTAAGGGAGCATAAGTGTACTGGCTGTTAAAGAAATTAATCGGGGGTTTGATTTTCAGACTTGATTCGCTAACAAATTTGGCGGGGCAACGAGCCCGACCCTACGTTTAGGGCATTTTCGTTAAATCTCAAATTTCAAAGATCAAATTCTTCAAAAATTAATTATTGAAATTATACTTTAGTTATTTCCATTCTTAGACCCTGAATATTAAGTCCTAATTATTTATTATTGTCTCATAGCATTTACGTGATTTCGTAGACTTTTGGTTTGGGAAAGCCGCGAGTTCGCTATGCCTGAATCTGCCTGGAAAATGCCCCGTGCGTACCGACTACAGAGATCTCGTAAGGAGTCAAAACGGACCCGCAGGGGCCAAGCGGGAAAGAGGAGAAAATTGCGCAAATGTCATCGAATTAAATATCTTGACTGAAATATACTTCCCTGGTTCTGTCGAGCTTGGTGACTGTGTCTATTCTGAACTTCAGGAAAACACGCAGTTCTGTAAGATAGGCGGCATGGAGGAGGAGTCAACAGCAGACGAAATCGCGAAATGGGTGTCGAGGCGGCGCTAGAGCGGGGGTCGGCGGGAGCTTTACCTAATAGAGCTACCTTATCACGTGTCGTATCATGGTCGTATCACGTGTATACTCCTCACACTACCCACGAATATTCATAATTAGCTTGATTAGAATATGAGTAGAGTATGGGTAGGGCCTACTACTACTCTACTCTAGCCTACTCATACGACACACTGGAGACACATGAAGGGGGAATAAGTAGTTATCTTTTTTGGTGCTATTTCATAAAATGTAAGTCGCCTTCCCAAACCAAATAAACGAAATAGTAAGAAAAGAGAAAGGTCATAGAAATTCACTGAACGCGGAGTCAAACAGATGCTTCATTTATAAAATTACTGCCTGGGACGTTTGAACCCTCCTCTCCCGCCACGAATAGCCATACCTTTCCTCGGAGAGACCGACTGCCCATCCATGGAACCTCGGTGATGATCTGTGAATTCATCTTCAGTGGAGCGCAGGACGGAATTCTGGTGCATAGAGAACTCGGTGGGTCTGACAGTAGCCGAGCGGTCTCGAGATGTCCTTCCGGATGAGACAGAGTCGTCGCGAGACTTTCTCTTCAGCCTCAAAAGTCGTTTCTGTTCATCAATATAGGCTCTCCTTTGCTCGGGATTATTAGCCCAGTCGGGCTCAGTCATGTAGCAAGTTATGCCATGGTGATTGCAGGTATTGCATGTCTGCGAACCTGTTGTGTCGATGAACGAAAAAGAACAGTCGCATTTCTTCTTCCGCTGCTTGCATGTGAAGCAACCTGGCAGCGTAAGTCAAACGTTCCCTAACGTGAAGAGGTATGGGCTAACCATCGCGACGTCTCCCGTCCATTTTGAGATTGCTGGCGGAGGCCGAAGTCAGCTGCAGCTCGTTCCGGGGGATCAGCTGCCGGGTTAATTTAGTTTTGCAGGAAATAATTATTGCCAAGAAACTTACATCTGTTGATTCATCCAATTGACTAAAGCCATCTTGTGGAGCAGGCCGTGATGGGCCGGGAATACCGAGAGTCCCAGTCGTGCGCGCCTCTTGTGTGATATGACTTTCACTGGTCATTTGGGGCGTGGGCCGAACAGTCTGCACGTGATCTGTCATTTGTGCAACTTCTGCTCGAGGCTGTCGGTATTCATTCGCCAGGTCATTGACAAGCTGACGACCATTGGAACCGAGTATGTCATCCAGGCCTTCATCTTGCTCCACGGTTTGCCCGTTGTTTCTTCTCTTCGCCGTGAGCTGTCGAGGAAGCGCGGCCGGTGCGGCCGGTGCAACACGGACAACCTCCTCTGCCGATACTTGGATATCCTTGACCAAAGCTTCTGACCGCGACTCGCCATAAGTCAACCCGTGAGGACCAAGAGGTCGTTCCTTGGCAAGCTGCATGGTAAGAGGGCCTGTTGGATTTGGAAATATTGCTCTGACAAAAGTTTTGACTTGCATCTCTGTGATATTCCACACAAGTTCGTGCTCAAGATATCTCCGTTTCACTCGCCGCCGGTGCTTTTTCTTCTCTTCTGGCCACATCAACGTTGTTAAGTCATCTGTTTCATAGCACCCTATGACGTTTGAGTGCGCGTCAAGTTTTGTTGACATCGCAAGATCCCAAGCAAATGGGATCTGGTGAACTTGCACTGCGAGGATCGTTAGAGGGCGTTCAATAAACAGATGGCTGATGACACATACACCGTTTTCCATTGAGGACAAGGTTATTGTCCTCGTGAGCTTTGGTCCACAACGTGTAAGACCTTCCATCATCTCGCGGAGGGGGAGGGATTTCATCTGAAACGATAATAAGATTTTCAAACCCAAGCTCTTTCTCGTTAAATGGCCACGTATGGTACCTGCGCCCGTCCTTTCCGATGTCCATGAGATTTTCTTCCAAAGTTGTTCCCTGCACGCCGGAGTCAGCTACTCAATCTCCAAACTATAGAAGGAGACTTACCTTTGAGATCGCCCATTCCACAACCTTGAGCGTGTCGGTATCATACTGTTGCTCCAGTGGCACAGCCCCTTCCTGCATGGCGTTGGGGAACAGCCGCTGCCCTTCGGAATCAGGGTAATAGGGAAAACTGATCAGTGTTCCATAGCTTTTCACTGTCTCCGACTTCCGGACGAACTTCTCTGTGAGCTTCAGTCGGTCGGACATGGCCCCTTTAACCACGTCGAGTTTCCCGGACTGACTGTGTCGCAGCTTCACCGAATTGGTGATCGGACTTCTCGCCATGCGTTTTCTAAGATAATCAGAGCTACCGCCAAACTGTCCCAGGAAAACTATCGCCTCAAGAGTTTGTTAGCTAACGCTGCCATACGATCAAAGAGGAAGCCCACCTTGATGGCGGGATACTCGGCCAGCACTTGTTCGATGGCGAGATCAAGTCTGTCGAGAGCCGGATCAAAACACTTCTCCAGTATTACTCTGCTTGGTTTTAGCCAGTCTCCCTTGAAGTAGCCCGGATGGTGTATACCGGCTGAGTTTCATGCAATCTTTCTCGAAGCCCTTTCTCGGATTCGCGCGAAGTCGCGGCGTATGTATGTTCCAGCTGGGTGAGCCAGGCCTTGGCGGCTGACCGCAATTCTTTTTCTCCTCCTTGAACTCGCGACAGACCTGGTAAATAAGTCGTTCAAGATCGCCGTTGTAGTCCCTGGGAGATACTATTTGTCTGAGGCGTCTCTCAAATTCCGCTTCGACTGCTTCACCCGACACCTCAAGAGCTACGACATAGTCAGCGATGGGTTTGTCAAATCCCGTAATCACGAACATTGAGTTGGCCCAAGCTGATCTACCCTGAGAGGGTTTTTGCTAACAAGCCTCAGGGGTGTCAAGCATCCCGTACCACCGCCGATATCAACGGGCAGAAAAAAGTCACCCTCCTAATCGAGTATTAGTACCGAATTCAAAAAATGAGTTGACCTGAACTCCTTCTAATACTCACATTGAGCTCATCTAAGTTTGAGGTCTGCGGACCAAGATCAAGTGATATAGAGGCCTCTTCGATGGTGGCGGTGAGCCACTCCTTGACCCCACAGAGGGTCTCCGACAATGTGTAGACATTTTGTATTCCGAAGGTCATCCTCTGGAGATTGTGTATTTCAAGAGCCTTCCGAACTCCTCTGGCACCGATGGCGGCAACTTTTCTGTGGACAAGCTCCGGCCATCCCGAGGGAAAGGCAAGTGCTAGCTCAAGCTTCGAGGTCTCCAAGGGAAATGGGATCGATATCTTCGCTGCGCCGATGATTTCTTCAATTACCGCGTCCAAAAAGTCCTCGAAGACCTCGTAAGGGTCCTTCTGCAACGTCCGAGCTAGTTCGTCGCGCATATTGCGATACCTTGCTGCAGTATCGGGGGAGACTTTTGCATCGTCGGGGTTGTTGAGCAAGAGCTTGATGTGTTCGACGACAAACACATTTTCGCGAGCGATTTCTGGTGATGGATCGTCCAGATACTGTTGAGCCTGAAACCCCATACAGAGAAGCTCCCTGGAAGTTCTGTCGTACACCAAGTCTGTTGGAAGACAAATATTTCCGATAGCATCACCCTTGCGAGCGCCGCGCCATGCTCTCATCTCAACTGGCCTCCCAAAGCATTTCCTTTGCAACACTCCCTGCTGGTTGAAGGAATCGACAGCTAATGCCCACTGCGCTGTCGTGGCGCTTGTGCCGAGATCGACGGCGAGGACGAGACATCGTTGGCCCTGTTGCATGACTGAAGACGTCGAGTAAGTCGCGAGAATCCAACAAGAAGATCGTGACAGTGAGGTTTAGTGCAGTTGATGCTTTTTAAAGACTAAAATCAGGAGGAATGAAGTAAGTTAAGGTGGGCGGGCTTTGGGGAAATGCCCGCGCGGGTTGTTGAGCTTGGTGGGCCGTCACACCACTGTCGATCGATGCGAACCAGCTGAGGACGGGAAAGCATTGATTTGCCTTCTCCTCCCCTAGTTCTGAGTCATTGCAAAACTAGGCACCACCAGTGTATGTTGTGTAACTTGAGTTGGTTGAAGCCGTGTTCTGTTTGGCTGAGCCTTCCAGGACCCACTGCACAAGGATTTCGTGGCCGTCTGTCAGGGTCAAACTGCCCGCCCACCTTCTGCTCCTCGCCCAGGAGGAAAGAAGAGCGCAATATCTTCTCGTTAATTGTATTCCTTTGGTAGATTGCATGAGAAACCTCGTGCATGGAAAGGGGGCCAGCAAATACTATCGTTGCTGAATTATTGCAGATTCCGCTACTGGAGTGCACAATTACGGTGCTGGCTTAAGAACAGAACACGACCCAGGACTCGAAGATGGCAAACAAAAAGTCCGAAAAGCGCAAGAGGGAAGAATCCGAGAAGACTGCTGATGCGTATATGCTCCTGATGGACCCTCACATCTATTGACTGACGAGTGATAGAGTAATTGAAATAAATCGAGCAGCTTCATCAGCCACGCTTAACGCGAACGACTTGCCAATCGATCGCCAGCCAAAGAGAGTTCGCAATGGCGCACCGCCAAAGCCCACATCGATCCAGCGCACTCAACCGCCTCGAAATCAACAAAGCAAGAATTCGCAGGCATGTCCGATATGCGAGTCGATGCCTGGACGACAGAGGATTGCGAGTGAAGGCATGATACAGTGCGACATTGGCGAGTGCGGTCTGTGGTACCACGACTTCTGCATCTTCACGGTCAACACGAAAAAGCCAAGAAAGATGCTGCTGTTTTCTGCAAATCAAGGAATGGATAACGCGGCTTTTATTTGCCCGAAATGTCTCGATCAACCAGAAGGGTACACAAGAGAAGTCATTACCCAAGAAATCAAATCTGTTCTTGGAAGAGTGGCGAGCCTGCTGAGCGGAGAGGAAGCGACACCTATCGAGAACTCTCAATCACCGTTTTCCGCGGAAGTTTCTCCACAGCATATTAGCCAGCACCTGCCTGGTCAATCCATGGAGAGTTCGCAATGGCACGACGGCACCGCAACAACCCTACCACGGCCCCGAAACGAAAAGTATGAAGGTTTCGACAAGTCTGTCATCCGCGGTCTTGTTCGTACCCTGGATGAATGCATATTCAACTACAGCAAGGAAGTTTGTGATGTGATCCAAGCATTTGGAGATCCTGAAGACGAGGCTTTTAATTTTCCCTTGAAGACATGGCAACTCATCGATGCGAGGGCGCCCCAAGTCACTGGGCAGGAATGGTACCAAATCACTGATGGTTCTCTCACTCCGATGAAGGGCCACACCTCGCTGACTGCTTCATTGCGGACAATGTTACAAGCAGATCGCGACTCGCCACTTGAAATTGCGGCCAGCTTGGGCGATCTCAACTTTTCGCAGGTGCACCGCGCTTTCGTTTCATGGTTTGTAATTGACGTTCTAGGAAACAAGCTTGACATCTTTGAATTGCCAAATATGAAGCAAGTGAGGGTCATGATGGCGGGTGTCCACCAATTCGGAGAAGAGAGTACGTCGGTGTCTAAAGTAGCACTGTTTGATTAACTGACATACATCTAGGATGGCCAGAAAATGGGCGACAAGTTTTGCGAGAAGTTCAACTGAGAACATGGGAAAAACCCGCATTCGGGGAAGAGCTGCTGAAGAACAAGCAATACATCATCCGCAAAATGGAGACTTATTTGGAACCCCTGACGAAAGAATTCAACAATATCACGCCGTGGTCTCACCATAGAGCACAACTAATCGAGACAACTATCAAGTTGTGGTCTTATTTTGAAGCACCGGAAGGCATATTCAAGGTGATTCAACCTGAGATGGAGAGTACTTTCAATCCAAAAGAACAGGAGGGATACGATGAAAATGGCGAAAAATACATTCCAGACAAGCACTTGAAGAAAAAAGTCCTTTGGGTCATGCGTCGCGGATTTCGGTATGCAGAGAAGAGCTCTTCTGATGCTCGTAGGGTGATGACCGTGAAAGCAATTGTTATCGTTCATTGAATTTCAATAGGTAATTCTTGTATCTTATAGATATATTTGAAGTCCTTGGTCTGAAGGTGCCCCATTGCCAACCCTCTCCCTCCCCGGCGGGGATTCCCCAGCCGTCACACACGTGACCGCAGAGTCGAACCTCGAAGCCCAGCTTCTAACGACCTCTGAGGATCCAGATATGAGAAATGCTAGACGCCTCATTCTGCATGCTTCATCGAGGCAATTGTATAAAGCCACAGACTACACGTCATATTGTGTGCTCCGGAACAGCTATCCTCCTGTCAGATCAGCGGCGGGTACTTGCCCGCCGATGAGCAAAAGCTTCCGTTCTCCCCATCTGATATCTCAAATAACACGGACCAGAACGAGATTGAAAATCTTATGCAGTGAGACACGGTGATCACTCGATACTGACCGGAGCAGCCTCAAGGTGCTCTCAATCTTTGTGGTTGTCGCTGAAACTAGTGGAAAAGCCGGTTAGCGTCGGAGGCACGCCATAAACGGCGGGGAAATGAGCCAAAATAATCGAAAGGCTCAGATATATCGTCCAAGCTGTCGTAGAGTTTCTATACGATGCAGGGAAGAAATATGCCCAATGGAAAAGAAGCAGTCAAGAGGGGGCTGTTTCGTCACGAAATTGCGTGACGTGTCGGCGAGTCGGTGTTCAAAGGCATCGTGGACTGTCAATTTAGGCCCTGCCTACCTGCTAGAAGTGATCACATGACAACCCCCCACGCAAGAACACCAAAAAAAAAATGTAATTTTTTCAATGTGCTTAGAAAATTCCAAAAAAACTTATCAAATAACTCTAGTTAAGTCATAAATCACGATTATCGACTTCTTTTATTTATTTTGTTGCGTTGTGGTTAAATAGACTTTTGGGCAGTTGAGGGATGTGGGCGGTGGTCGGGTGAAGCCTTCTAGAGAATATCAACACCTCCGTGCACCAGCGCAATATTGTTCAAACTCGACGTTTTTCTTTAAATTTAATCAAGAAACACGCTTCGATCAAAACTTCCGGCGCCTGATTAAACCGTAGGTAGAATATCTGAATCTGGAAAGCGAGTTTCTTGTTTGAACTCCTGCTCTCGACTCTATCATCATGCTGTTGTCATTCGAACTCGCGATTTCTTGTTAATTTGTCCAGCTCCCTCTTAAAGTGGACAAGGCACCCGACTCTGAAAAATGGCGCGAGTCCTGCATTAGGAGCGTTGTGTATTTTATTCCGAAACTTTGGGCGGCTCTTGAATACTCTTTCTCCTTGAACAACCTGGAAGCCCTTGGATGGTATCGTCACGTGATCAATCCTGTCTTAACTTCTTCCGTAATTATCGCTCCGTAAGTATACTCACTGATTCTATGGAATATCAGACAGTCCAGGATTACTTATCTGCACTGAGATACAAGATCGTAATAGACACTTTTGGAGGGGCGGGGGCGGCCGGGTTTCAAGCATGATATAAGCACGTATGGATACCCCAGCGGGTAAAGGAAAATGGGGAGTACCTAGGTAACGAGAGCTCATTCCATTATATACTTAGATTATAACAGTACGATACTTCTCATGGCTCACTACGAGCGAAGCCGCTGGTATTACGAATTGCTGTTTCCGTCCTTGTCTACATTCTGTCTCATGAAAAGAAGACGAAATAACAGTCACGTGATCTTCGTCCCGTTTTTTTCGAAATTAGATTCAACGCCACCAACACCATGTAGCACTGCTCCTGTATTCAGATCAAAGTCATGAAAGGTGTACCAGGAAGCTCACACCTTCTTGGGAGGCTATTTGATACTTCTGATCTCTTCCAAGGGCCATTCCGTCAACCTGAACAATGGACATAATCCTTGATTAAATCCGGTGTTTGTCCTCTGCATCTTGCGCTGCCTGCTATTTCATTTACACCTTTCCAACCGTTGCTCTCCCGACACTTTGTCGGCCACTTGTCGCCACCCGGCAGTGGTTTATCCAACCCCACCACGTTCCCGTATTCCTTCAATGACCACTGATTGTCCAATCGACCCCTTTCACTGCATGTTGTTGGATTACTCATTGCGGTATTCTTCATCCCTTGGGCGAGCTATACACTATACACTTCACGCTCTGTTTTCAGTCATCGCCATCGCCAGTCTCGTAGCCATTAACGAAACGACCGATTGGTTTAACAAGATCACCCTTATCGCCATGTTCTTCGAAGCCTTGAACCCGCATCAGCATTGATATCAACGAGGCTGGAAGCGCGATACACACCAGCATCTACGGAGGACGCGGTGAGAAGTCTTTCAACTGCCAAGGTTTGACGCCACACTCGCTTAAATGGCAGGCATGTGGCACGGCGACCAGAGGCCGCTATGATTACAGGGCCTTGCAGGCTTGTCATGCTTAAATAGCAGCACTCAAGCCCTGTAAACATCACTAACTGCGATGTTCCTTCAGGCTACTGAGGCCCTAAGCACCGTCGCTATGCCAGAGCTGTGTGGCGTCCTTAGGCTTGGCGCCCAAGCACGCCAGTTGCAAGACTATGGCCGCGTCCTCCATACCCAAAGATTGTTTAGGACCTCAAGGTGGGTCAGTGCAAGTGAACCGACGAGCGCGGCATACTCGCTCTTATCCCACACATCTACCAAGGGATTGTGGCCGCTACTCGCAGCGTCGAATACTAAGCCGAGAGACCTGCAAATAAATCCAAAATTCTCATTAAGAGGAAGATCGATGGATTCCATGTCGCATGTCATGGAGTTCCGCATCAATTTGTGAGACTCAAAACTTAGAACACAGAACAAGATAGGCGGATCTCAGGGTCTCCCAGGGGGCAAAAGACGTCGGGTTTGTTCATGAGCTCTCGAACCAGGGTTGCCAAGAGCGTGCCGTCTGCTTCTGCAAGAGTGCTCGAAGTTGGGTTGTGTCTACTGATTGTGATAGGATTCGATCAACTGAAACTTCCTCGGGTTCCACAAACATTTCGGTATTTTCAAATTCTTCATCCGTCTCATGGCGAAAGTTCGCTTCCGCATTGGCTATATTATGACACAATCCAAGAATCCTAAGCGCAGGAGCGAGCTCGCGAGTACGAGATGTATCTGTTGAGAGGTCAATTTTGAGGTTCTGAAAAGAGCATATATTTAATGTGAATCAGATAATAGCCGGTTCCCCTCCCACTACGCTTCGCTTGTGGTCGGTACAAGCAAGTGTCTCGTTCAAGCAAGTGTCCCAGCGAGATTTTAGTAGGGAAAACCCTACCAAATAATTTTTTCGCGAATTTAGGCGTTTTCGCCTATACTTCTGCGCTTAAAAACCTCGCAAAACCGTTACAATTGGGTTATAAACCAATGAATAAACCTATATAAGGACTTAAATCTTTATTTTAGCTTTCTAGACTTACTTCTTTATATATGTAAATATATATTAAAAATTATTAGATCGGGTATCAAGGAGAGGGCTGAGTTATTCTTATTTTAAAACGATTTTTAAGGCGAAAATTTGTGGTTTTCCCTACCAAAATCTCGCTGGGACACTTGCTTAAACGAGACACTTGCTTATACCGACCACAAGCGAAGCGTAGTGGGAGGGGAACCGGCTATTAGTTCACAGGGTGCCCGAAATCAGAGTTTTATCCTTAGCGCCGTCACGTGCAAACCAGCCATTTCAACAGTATCTCCGAAAGAGGTTCACGGCCGGGAGGGTGTCTCTTAGGAGATCTACCTGCATAGCCGTGCAAAAGGTAATAATCCGTCACCGGTCGTTAATATCGTAAAATGTTTTGACGAAAGAAATGGTGGCAGGTTTGGTGTGGATATTTGACTCGCTTGCGTAGTTGTCCAGGTCCCTAATCTCCGTCTCTGGGTCTTCGCACTGCATGTGTATCTTGAGATTGATGGCATCGATTGCTGGGAGGAGCCAGTTGCCCCCAAGGCCAACAAGTAGTAATAGAGGGGTTGTTGCACGGCACGTGGCCCCCCCCTCTCCGCGGACGCCCCCTGCATGTCGATCACGTGATTTTTGGTGGGGTGGGGGGGGTTAGCTCAGCTTCATTCCACTATAAGCCTTCCGGAGCACCACAATTTTATGCTCCTCAGAGGGCGCATTCTGCACTTGCGACAGGCATTAAATGGGATTAAACCTACCAGGTATACCATCGTTCAATTGGTCTGCCAGCCCTCCTCGTTAGCAGCCAAGCTCCCAGGTCCTCCCTTCCGTCATGTCGCATTCTTCACAGGTAGATTTGGCGTCACACTATTGCAACACCATCAGCAGAGCTCTTAATGGGATAAAAGTGGAATGGAAACCTTTTTCTTCAGTATTCGGCACCTCCAACACGGATTCTGACCGGCTTTGGCCCTTTTCTCTTCGGAACACGTCAATTGATCTTGCCGTTCTTCTGGCTTGCTATTGTGTTCACTATTCGCACAATAGGTCACTCCTCGCATAAATTCGGCATGATTTCATTGATTCGATGTCATGGCCAACGCATCATCGAGGTGGTGTTGAGACATAGTCGTACATTTTGTCGTTGCTCGTCCGTGACTTGAGAGACGCGACTTGAGGTGTTGCTGTACAGTGATGTCAGACTCCAAAATATGCGATTGCCCCACCAGACCCTGGAAAATTAGCGAGCTTCGCCAAAATGGCGCTAAAAACTTGTACCAAGCCCCTTCTATTTCTGATGACTATTGCGAGTAAACAATAGCAAAGAAACGTCACGCAGAAGGTTTGGCTAAAATTGGAGTGAGTGTTTGATTCTTTTGGGTAGATTTACTGTCCTTATTTTGATTCTATATTAGTTCAACAAAGTGCAAGACAAAACCTGCAAGACGACTTTCTGAGGTTGTTGGTCATAGACGGTCAAAGCCAGCTTCTGTTTTGATAAAATACTCTAGACTCTATGCCACATATTTGCCATTGATACCTATATATAGTATGGTATTTATGGTCTTTCATTTAGAAAAGAATTGTACCACCGGCCTCAGAAAGAAAGCACGTTTCTTTCGTGTTCTCAGAGCCTCTCTTCAGAAGAAGTTTGCCAGGGAAATTTCAATTCGAAACAAATGATGCTTGGGCCAGCGGTTTCCTCCCACTGCCAACCTCTCTCTTTGAATGCAAAGACTACGTGAAAAAGAATTCTTTGAACCTCGTTTCTTCAATTTCTATATATTAGTGGAACCTTTCTCAGTGTTGGGGTTCTGGACATGATCCTCTGGCTCTCTGGCTCTCGAAATCCAGAATTTGAAATCACTCATCCATCATGGCTTCCCAAGCTGGCAGCGACGTAGGAGATCTGGCAAAACGATTGGATGCTCTTGCAGTGCGAGAAATTCGAATCTTTCTTGAAACCTACCCCCTTGGACCGTCACCATCAAGCGTCCCAGATCAAAATACTCGTTACCCAAACCTGAAATATGGGACGGCCATCCTCCCCCTCTGGCGGCAGACGACCGAGCTTCGAGCCGGAAGTAAGCATTGGCCGGCATTCACGCGACTCTTGGACGCTCTCACGCCTTTCATCTTGACCACAAGTGTCATGTTCTCTATCTCACATCCCGAGGAGTTCCAGAGAGCAAAAGCCATCAAAGCCCGTCGACTTGCAACACAAGACCCAGCACTGACGATCCCAGAAAGCACGGCGGAGAACTGTTTCGAGACTATGAGACTATCAGCCAACATCGCTCCTGGACGATGTCTTCTGCAGACGACTCATCCAAGCAAGCTTGCATGTCTGATTACAGTTGGGTTGGCACTGTCTAGCGGAGGAAACATTGCAATCCCTGCGCTCGGCCTGCAATTCACTGCCAAACCTGGTGTTTTCGGAGCACTGAGCACTGAGCACTGATATGGAGGTTTACACTCAGCCCTTCAGTGGCGAGAGATACGAGTTAAAGTTCTTCGTCCCTGAGTCGGAAGACCAGGAGGGTGTTTCTGGCATCAATCAGTAAGTACAGATCGGCATTTGGGTTGAGAACAGAAACCGAGCAGGATACCATACACCTGCGCGAGAATAACGATCACATTCTCAAACCTTGCAATGATCTCCACTGAGTGATTAATGTGATCTTATTCTCAGCTTTTCCATCAGCTTTCAGACTACTAACTTTTTGATCTGTTTTAATGGAAGCTTGCAAATTTTTCAATTGCTATAACTCCTCTATCCAGCTAATGTCCTTCCTCAAAGATATATCGTCTACTCCCAGAGGTGCTGGTATATTCAAGAATTTCATCTATAAAGCACGATTTCGAAAATAAAAATATTAAAAAAATAAAAATAAAAATTCTAGAATACTTAGAATTTGTTAGCTGGTTTGTGTTCCAGTTGAGACCTATTTAGAATTTGCTCTCACAGGAACTTCTCTCACCTGTCTCAAACTTGGTGCATATCATTGCGGTATTTGAATGCTCACACGAAATCTCGATCCCTTAACTCTAAACGCGATTACTGTAGCTTCGAACCCTCAAGATCAACAACTAAGCCCTGGCGAAGCTAGCACCGATGGGTTTCAACAGTGGTTTCAACGGCTCGCGCCAACAATACGAAGGCTTATTCAAACATACCATTTTTCTTCCGCAAATGGTCACGACTCTCAATCTCATACCGACCCAAATGAGAAATTTTGTACCGTCATCCTGTCACTGGCAACAGGTTCCGGAGGTAAATCAACAAACCCAACACCAGCCGGCCTTTGTCGAGTTTCTTCAAACCTTCTCTCCTAGACTGCTTCCCGACTGTCCGTTTGTCAGCTAATCTTGCGCTTGGTGATATTCACCCATCTACTACCCATTCGAGTGACCCACTTATTTTGCTCATTGTGGGGGAGTTTGGGCGGTGCAATTTTTCTGCCGGACCTGAATAAGAGGAGGCGCGGCCAGGCTTGTTTGATGTTTTCAACGATCATGAAGGTTGAGAACGAGGTGTTTGTAGGGGGGTACCCCTGGGAGTTTTTCTTGCCTAAATTGGATCAGGAGGGGTTGGAGTACGCTGTACTGCTGGAGTGAGTTAATCACTCGTGGAAGGAATAAGAACAGTAAACTAGGTCCTACTCATGCAGTCTGTGAGCTTCTTGTAAAATAGGTTGTCAGTTCATGCATTTCAAAAACAACGCAAATTGACTTCGACTCGATGACATGGGATGTTCCCGAAACCCGAGTTATGCCTTGAGAATAGTAACTGATACTCCCCCTTTTCCTTCTTTCCTTCGCACACTGAGTATTTAGTAGAAAGGCACAAGTGTGCTGTCAAAGTTGATGCGGAAGGCGCAACTCTGGACTGGTTGCAGTGATTAGTCAAGGAAGGGATCGAAAGTTGAATCTCAACAAAGGACATCAGCGTAAAATATTCGAGAGTACGAGGTTCTGACTGGAAAATAAATTGACTTCGTAAGGCGTCTAAAGAGTTCCAACGAGTTAGAGACTTCTTTGATGGCGTTGCTTTTTCCAGCAGCTTCAAGTTCTTTCCTGTACCAAATACCCTTCCAAAGAAAACTCCCTTTGAAGGTCTGTTGATTCTCTATTTATGATTGACCAAGCGCAAGTTCGTCCTCCATCATCACAGACTCCCAACTCAGTACCCATTTGCCTGTCATGGCCACGCAAGCCAGGCAATTCAGTTTTCAAATGCCATCTCCGGCCCACGCAAACTTGCTTCTCACTGCCATCCGCCAATTCCTCCAAAGCTGCCCACTTGCCACATCACCCATCCGTGACACCCAGCCTCATTTAGACCCCAACGAGAGAGTCGGCACAATCTTACTTCCTCTCTGGCGACAGACGCCTCTCACGAACACCCACAGTTCACACTGGCAAGCCTTCCTTGAACTCCTTCGAACCCTGAGACCTTACCTCATCGAATGCAGCAGGGCGATGAGGTCCACAGCCCCATATGCTTATGACAGCGCCTTGCGAATCTATCAGGATCAACTCTTTGGCGGAGACCAGGCAAATGCGATTCCACAAATTACAGCTGAGAATTGTTTCCAGACACTGCGGCTCTCAGCGAATATGGCTCTCGCTCCTCATCTTTTGAATACGTCACATCCAAGTTTCTGGGCTGCCATTGCTGCAGTTGGTCCTTTCGATTACGGTGATGTGTTGCTCACTGGCCTGGGAGAACGGTATCAGGTTGGGACGCACGGTGTTGGTAGCGACAGAATAGAGAATATTCTGACTGTCAGAACGGCTCTTAATGTTCAGAGCGTACCTTTTGTGGGTGAGCGGTACGAATTGGTGTTCTTCTTGCCCTGGAGACCCTCAGATCTCGGCCTGTGATGTCATCCTTTGGTTGGAATGGCCACTTTCTCAACTTCAGGTTGTTGATAATTGGTTACTCGATAGAGTCCTAGTGCTACATGACGGTGCAGAGCATAGGGAAATAGCTTGGTCTCAAAGAATCAAGAACGTTAAGTCAAAAGCCAAAATACTGCTCGTCCAGACCCCAATAAATAATCTTGCTCTGGGACGATATTCAAGAGCTAAATGAAATATAATAAAGAGTGAAGTAAAAGTCATAATACTATCATCCCAAATCCGCTCCACTGTTGACGTTCTGTGCATCCTTAAACCGACACCCCGCTACGACTTCTGGCCCTGTTGGAGCTTGGTTATTTCAACAAAAGGCTCATTGTCTATTGAACCTCTTAGGGGGTCTTTGGTAAATTTGGTCCCATGCGTCAGAGTCCTCGGACAGCCGCTCATAAGCAGTACGTATGTAACGTAGTCTAGGCTCTAAAATTATCTATTCCATTTCACACATAACACATCCTTCCGCAGCCTCATTCTCCCTCTGATTTTCAATCAACTGTGCTCGCCCTCTGCGATCTCCTGAATATCATACTCGTCAAGCACCAAAGGATCCTCTACCTCTGTAAATTTCGAATTAATCAAGATCATCTCCGCTTGCTCAGGGTCCGATAGTACTGTATCAAAGCTCGTTTTATCAACGTACAGGCAAGCGTGGTATAGAGGGGTATACATCTTCAGGTTTTGACGTTCAGCACCGAGGCCGCCTCGGGGCTGCTCCTTGTGTCGATCCAGGAGCAAAAGTGTTGCCGAATCGTATCCTTAGACGCACCTTCGAGGCTAGATCCTCCATGACAGTCTAGTGCATGTAAGGCTTTATGCGCTCTCGTTTGCCGGTATTTTGGAGTTGGTGCTCAATAGCTTGAGAAAAGACGTCAAAAAATTTGCCACGCCTCGTCCTCGTATGTAACTCGGGAAATGAGAAATCCCCACTTGTGATGGCCGGAGAATGAGAGACTGCCGATAGTCTATACAACCCCGGAGTTCACATTCCTATCACCATCCATCGGGACAAAAGGTGGTGGGGTTGTAGAGGTTGCCATGAATGAAAATGATTTACTGCGTAAGCTGCGGGAAGGGGTGCAGGTACGCGAGTTCTGGAAAGGGAAATGTGTTTTAAGGATGTGAAATAGTCATTTGTAGTAGAGAGCGAATGGTAATATAAATTGGACTTGGAATCTCATGGAATAAACAGCAATTTTAGGTCAAGGAAGCACCTCGAGGGTGTGGAACTGTAGATATATGCCCAAGTAGAGAACGAAAGATATGTTCGCGAAAGGGGATAACAAGGTCGAGAGAAATGACCTCAATTTGATTGAATAGCAAAGTGTTCAGACGAAGTTGAGTAATATAATATTGGAAATCCAAACTCGATGAGGCGAGAAAGTCATCGTAGCTGCCTACGGTTAAACAGCAGGAATAAATTGATGTCTCGACCAAATTAATGAGTACCTATTGACCAATAGAATAGAGCCTATAGAGGGGCTTGTTGAGATAGAAGTCAAATGTCGTAGTTAACCGGCTAATCGGGCATTTATACAGGCGCACAGCATCGCAAGAGGTGAGAGGTCTGCTTGGTTTGCTTTTAATAGAACGGGAAAAGACTTATCAACTAATGGAATCCGCGTTATGGTGCGAGCTGGCTCGCTCTGAGAGGATGTTCAAGATATAAATAAAATGACGCTAAAGAGCGAAGTACAGCTATAATAGTGTCATCCCGACTCCAATCATTTCATTGACTTTGGATCCCTGTGTGTATCATGCTTAGTATACGCTTTTGAAAGAATGGTGGAAGCCGTGAATAGACAGAACTGAGCGAATTATCGATACTAGGAACAATTCTCAGTGTTCCTCGATGATCAATCGCAACACACTATTCCAAAAGTGGATTGAGGGTGTGGAGGTCTAGTGAGGCTTCTGGTATGGAAAGCGGTTCTTCGAACGTAGAAGGAAGCTGAATGCCCTCGTGGGATTCCCATCTGGGGAGGCATGCTTCCGTGCTTGCCATTGCTGACTCCTTGGATTTCTCTGCATCCAGCCTCAAAGCGAGAGTTTTGCAATGCAGAGTTAGATTGTCGTCCTGAGACATGTCTGATCGCAACACCTCCATCAGCCTATTGTTATCTAGCCTTTGCTCAGCACCAGAAGTAATGCGTGCTCGACGACAAAGTGCATTTATGTCCATCTCCAATGGGCCGGGTATATCATCGAATTCGATCCTCACTCTATCCAGAACGCTCTGGAACGCACGCCTGGAGGACTCCCCTCGCTCTTCAAGTGACATGCAGCCCAAAAGCTTCAGCGATTGTTGAATTGGATGCAATTGCGGCCAATATACCGAGCTCATTTGATGAGTAAAGCCCAAGAGCCTTAAAACAATTTCTGTGCGGCACATTCCTCGGTCTGGTAGCAGCAGGTGAAACAGATACGGAAGAAACAAAAGGCTTTGTTGTTCCAACAGGGACTGGACCAAGTCAAAGCCCTGGTTCAAGTACACAAAGGCTTCAGGGACTTTGTTCTCCTCGAGAAGTAATTGCCCATCAAACATGTGATGGTAGAACATCTCTAAAGTGTCAACATTGAAGTAGTCGTGGTTGTTTCTCCATGCTGGATTATCGAATATTCCGTTGTAGTAGGCTTGGCTAAGATAAAGCAACTGCTCAACCGGGCGGAATGCTGATATTGAGGGCGCATTGCGATCTATTTGACCAGGATCGGGAAATGCCACAACGCCATAGCCGGCGCTGGTGCTGGTGTTGCTTGCTGTAAAATTGCTATTTGGCTGGCTCAAATCTTCGACACTCTCTTTGGGATCCACATTCTGGGTAGCTCTTCCACCATCAGGCTTCTCTGGTTCAGGGGTGCGGCAATCTATTTGTGTGGTGGGTGAAAAATAATCCGTCGCAGCGATAATTGCTTTCACATCACGGACTCCCTTGCGGTGAAAGTAGTGCTTGACGTCTTGGAAAGTCACCAGGCGACCTCTAATCGAAAATACTGTCTTCTTCCCCATGACCTCTCGGTCGAAGGCGAGCTTCAGGGCGAAGAGCATGTCAGCATTCTTCTTATTACGATCTAGCTCCCATTTTCGGATGCGCTTTTTGAGCATCGCGGCACTGAAATAGGTCAGAAGCTTTGCCCATAATTTGGAGCAGGGGACTTGCCTCGGACGAAACTCATGGTTTTGAGCAAGTATGACTTGAACGATATGAAGTGGTTTGGCTTCATCGCGATATAATTGAGTGATAACGAGGCGCTTCTTCTCCCATTCCTCTGCTGTGTATGATCGATTGGATGCTGGGTGAGTTGGTGTGAAGGCAGGAAGAGAAGTCATGTTGTTGCTTTTATGGAAAGGAGGAATTCTGAAGTAGAGCATAGCATACTTTACAGAGAGTGTAATACAACTCCGGATAAAAGTAGATTGACCAGGAGGTTATATACTTTTGTCGATGGGGGGGCTTCGAGCGATCTCCTGTGCCCTAGCGCCAGAAACGAATGAGGCTGCCAACCAGAGTACAAGCCAAACGAGCCTACAAGGCTGGGCTGTACAAAAGTACCGTACATGACGCTAACCGTTGCCAGCGAGGCAGGGGACTGAGGCGCAGACTTCATTTTTGCTGACATGGAGCCAATGAGCTGAAGTGGGTGAGATGTTGTGTAACCAAAGTAACAAACTACCATTTGCATCATTGGACTGACGTCTAGCGGTGAGTTCAGCGGAATGCTCTTGATCTCGTCATCGCGAGATATGGGGAAATTTCCTTGGACACGGGAATCGTCGATAAGCCTCGGTGGAACCAGCTCAGAGGCTCAAGTTGAAGGACAATGATTGCTACGAGTGATTCCCTGACAAGGAGTCGCAAGACCAATTCCCCATGTAAGGCTATCTGTAATCGGTGTCGAGTTGATCAAGCCCTGGGCAGTGTGCATACTCTGAGATGTACGGAGTGAAGCAGATGAAAAATTGAAGAAGCGAGGCTTTGAAGTTTCTTTTCTTGAGTGTTGGGCTTACCTTACTTAATCTTTTGATACGTAATAGTCGGACTTGACGTCGCGCTAAAGGGGCCCTTCCCTTTAGTCGGGGAAAGCGAAGTGTCCCGCACCACACCAAAATTTCTATGCAATCGCAGATACTTGAATTGTACTACACAACCAAATAACCCTTAAATTAATGCGTAATTGAGGATATAATCTCTCATTACTCTAATGCTACAAAATCTGCATTTTGAGCTATTGAATTAGTCGATATTACTAATCTAGGTAGTAAAGAATATAGAATTACCTCCTCCCCACCAACCCCACTATTTATACCCTCTCGTATCTCCTCTACCTCCTTATCTGATCCCCTAGACTCCTCTAATATTGCCCGTATATATAATTGACTAAGAGGGTTCCCCTTTACCCGGTGAGCTTATTCAGATGCGAGTATTACAGGATTAATAGGGATATCGGTAAAGATTACGGGATCTTCGGCCTGTATACGATCGAATTCAGCTTGCTCCTTAGCTACCTTATCGTAAAGTGATTGGTACTTAATTCGAATGGCTTCAAGCTCGCTTTCCGTAGGTTCGTTTTGGGGATCGCGAATTGCTATTAGGAGCTCGGGAGGGATAATTATATCGGTTCCAAGGACTTGCTTCTTTATTTATGCCTCCAGATCTCTTATTCTCTTCTTCCTCTCTTTTTCTGCCGCTCGTACGGCGATTCCTACTCTTTTGAGAGCTTCCTTTTCAGCTGATTCAGCCTTTGCGAGCTGTCTTTTAGCCTTCTTTAGCTCCTCCTCTGCTGTGTTTCTCACTTTAATCTTCTTCTTTTCCAGAGTATCAGATGCATTTAACCACCCCCCTCTTTAGAAACTAAGCCGTATATTTAGCTTAGCCTTATAACGTTTAACCTGTGCCTTGCGAGTATTCTGGGCATTCAGCTCTTGTAAACTTCCAAGCATTAGGTGGTTCTTGGTAGCCTTGATTGTAACTGAATACTCTTTGCGAGGGGAGGAGCTTAAAGCATCCAGAATCTTGTCATTGAGATTATCGAGCCGTAGAACGCATTCGTTATATGAAGAAGGAGGTTTTGGAAGGGTAGGTAATTAGTATTCGTGAACAGGAGCAGAAGCAGGAGCAGGCGTGGTAAATCGTACGTTTTCTGCGTTTTCTGCGTCTGATTCAGTTTCCGATTCAGATCCAAACTCCAGAAATTGAAGGCCAGTGTCTTTCCTTCCCTTTTTGCCATACTCCTTGAGCTTTCTCCGTATTGCTTTGAAACTGACAGGCCAAATTCCAGTATTCTAAAAAGCGTATTTAATCATACGGATAGTAAATATCTTCTCCCGTATTCCAGGAAGATCGCAAAAGAAGTACTGGACGTTATATTCCGGCTCGTACGAGCGAATTGCATTTATAATATTAACCTGTTAGTAGTATTTCCATTTCCTAAAAACACTAATATCGCATGGTTAAAGTAGGTGGGTTTGATAAGAGAGAAATTGGACGATTCGTATCTTATTAAACGTAGCTTTTAGGATAAAATCGTCCGCTTGGTAGCAAGTTACTCCGTTAATCAAGAGAATACGCTATTCCTTATTAGGACCGTAGTTATTATGCTTGATAAAATGGTCTAACCAAACCATACAAATGCCCTCGTTCGTATATCCTATAGGAGAGACTATAATAATCTTATAACCGGTCATATTTTCATGGAACTAAGAAATTATAATTATAATTCCAGGGATAATTACTACCGGAGGAATTGCCTTGCTATCTGCAGATATGCACTTAATTATTATAAGAGATATGCGATTTTCTGATATTCCTGTATATATCTCCTTAATTCTAATTGGAACCACTACTTCCTCTCCTGAAGGCATATAAATTCGTACGCCTTTCTCGTCTATATTATGTATCCGATCCCCATAGCATATACCAGTTTCCTCTAATGCCGGACGATATTCAGTTTCAAACCAATTACGGAGGCTCTGTTCGGTATGGAGATCGATACGGTAGCTCGTAATGGGCTTCGTCTTAATCATATAGAGTTCTGGAGTGCTCTTTAGCTATTGAGAGAACTATTTCTAAGATAGAGCTGTTTTATTGTCCTCCGTTCGCATCCATATTGCGCAGTTATATATCATTTGCTTTGTAGCTCCTTTCCCGCCATTAATCGCATGTGATACCGCGTACTGAATCAATGCCGCGTATTGATTAGGACGGAGGATCTTATTCTGCCCCCCTTTTTATACTCTCACTATCCCCATCTTCTTTCTCTCTCTCTGCTACGCTTTCCTTACTGTATCTTTATTTCGTACGCAATACGCGCGTGCCGCAGTCGCAGGAGTCTCTTCTGGGTTGGCCTTGAGGAACTGAATAGCCTTACGGAGCTTATCCTTCTCTGGCATATTACGGAGAAGCGTGTTTTTGGGGAGGTTGCTTAGGCGAGCCATTGCTATTGAATTTGACTGATTTTCACGGAAATTTGGGCTGGTGGTAATCAAATTGATTGATTTTTACTATGGGTGTTCCATACAAATTGGAAATTTTTGCGATCGGTGCGGGACACTTCGCTTTCCCGGGACACTTCGCTTTCCCCGACTAAAGGGAAGGGCCCCTTTAGCGCGACGTCAAGTCCGACTATTAGTGTATGGCAAGAAGTGAGATTTTGAGACTTTTGAACAAAGGGGTTCAAGCAACCGCTGGAATCCCTGTAGAAGGTGTCACTCACCAATCCCCTTCCCGCTCAACTTGGATTTTTGGAGACCTTCACGCTACAAATTCGAAGAATTAACACGATATTCACAATATTTCGAGTATTCTCTATAATCTGGAAAGTTTTTAGAATTTTCCAAAGACTTTGAAAAATCGAAAAATTTGGTGGGGGTAGGAGTAGGCGGGAAGGGGAGAGGGGGTTTGGGCGGTTAGTGGGCTAGTGGGTACCCCCCTGCAAAATCCGCGGGCGCACCCGAACCTCCGCCTCAAAACCTTTGCCATCCGCCCATCTCTGAGGCATCAACCATCCCTCCTTTCCCTCCTCCCACCCCAATTGTGGCTCACGATGAGTTAAGTCTGCGTGAACAATTTTCGTTGCCCGAGAACAAAGGCTTTCTTTCGCAAGATCATCGCCTCAAGATCATGTCACAACGCCTCTGGTCCCCTTCCCAAACCCTCCTCCACACCTCCCTCTCTTCCGCCAAAACTCAAATCCAATGTGTCGGCCTGACAAAACACTCGAAACGCTGTCGCTGGGACGTCTTATCGTCCTCCCTTCCACAAATCAATGCCCTGCTCACATCTCTCTCGTCCCTTTCCCCTGATCCCGACAACCCTTCCCTTACCCAAATACTACAGAAATTAGCACCACTTTGTCTTTGTACCGACTTCCATCAGCACCAGGCGAGGTCCGTTGTTTCACAATGGCTGAACACTATTGCTGAGATTTCCGAGCTCTCGCAGCTTTCTGGTGAAACCGTCACGTCGTCGCAGAGGTTGGAAGAGGAGCGGAATGATTTGGAAAGGCAGTTGAGGGAGGAGAAAGAGAGGGGTGAGAGACTAGGTGAGGAAATGAAAGGATTGAAGGAGGACCTGAGGAGCGAGAAGGAGGAAAAAGGGAAGTGGGTTGAGCGGTGTCATGAAGCTGAGGGTGGGAAGGAGAGGTTGCTGATTTTGGTTAATCGGAGAGGGAAAGAGCTTGTGAAGAGTGGGAGGGAGGTCGAGAGGTTGGAAGTACTTTTGAAGGAGTTGGAAGCAAAAGTTGAAATTGAGAAGATAGGAAAAGACGAGAGGCATGAGGAGCAAGTGAAGGTCGTGGAGGAGCTGAGGGGGAAGTTGGAAGAGCAGTGCAAGGTGTCGAAACAGTTGCTTGAGAGATTGGAGGAGATGAGAGATGCGTGCGCCAGCTCTGTTGGGGAGGTGGAGGCTTTGAAAGTACAGCTTAGCACGGAACAACAAGCGTCAAAACAGAGAAGGCAAGCGCTGGACGAAGCCAAAAAGAGAACAACCGAACACCTCGCTCAGACTGAGAGCTTGAATACTCAACTATCAACTCTCACTCAAGAAAATCTGGCGTTGAGGAATACAGCGAGTGAAGCTGGGACTGCACACGCTGCTCTTTCACAAGCACTGGAAGTAACTCAGGCTCAACTTGCTACTGAGCAGGGGATAACAGCGCAACTCCGGACAGAACTCAACGAAGCTCAAACAAACCGAGATACCCTCCTGGCGACCCTGACGGAAACTCAGCAAGACCTGCAAGCCAGCCTGCAAGCCAACGCAGACCAAACCACAGCTCACAACTTAGAGGTCTCTGAACTGCAAAAGAGAATTAATGAACTGGAAACAGAACTCTCTCTCCCCTTCTCGAAGAAGTTGAAAAGGAGGGTTAAGAGACTTGTGAAGAGGTTGGGAGAATCGATTGGGGTGCCAGGCGAGACGAGGCTGGTTGGTCCTGTTGTGGAGAGAGGGAGGATAGAAGAACTGGATCTTTGAGGAAATATTTGAAGGCATTTTTGAAACGGAGATTTTTGATACAGTCGCTACCGAAATCGGCTTCCGTCCAGAAAATACACAGTCTCAATTACGCCGTACTATCTGACTCCTTTCATGCTGCTAAGCATATTCAGCAAGGGGAAGGAAGCCAGGTACCCGATGGTCTTCAATGCCTGCTACGGTACTGTACTCTATCACTTTATAGTATTGCAAGTTAGTTTGTACCGGGTCTCCCACTGCAACTCGTCTGAAGTACGTTGCGTAACAATTTGCATCGATCACAAGACCCACAAAGCCTCCGGCACAGCCAACCTGCGTGGCTGGCAATGGAGGAAGACCGACATGCGCCGGCTCTACGACTCCGAGCCGATGGCCGCTCCGAAAACCGCTGTATTTCAGGGTCTCCGGCACTCCAATTTATGACACAGCAATAGAATTTCGTCTTGTTTGGGGGTTGAGAGAGATGAGGGAAGGGGGGCAGACAGGGAGGGCTCGGAGGATAAGAAACTAGCTACGGGCAGAGGGACTTGAGAAGAGACTGCTCCCCCTTCTTGATGAGCGATAGGCCGACAAGCTGAGATTGAGGGTGTCGATCTTGGGACCGGTAGGAGTGGTGTAGGAGGCATTCCTGCGGCGAGACGCGTCCGTACGGCGCGTGGCCTGGCCACAGAGGCTGGTAGGATTCCACACAGAGGGTATAAGGATGTAGTAGATGAATTAATGCGTTTTAGTCGTGTGAATTGGGGGGGGGAGGTTGCACTGTTGTGCTTTCGATAGGTAAAGGTACTGTAGGTACCTAGCTCGTAGTTTGTGTAACAGCGAAACACGTGATGCAGGTCTAGCCTTGGCGGCCATGCATACAGCCCCGCAAGTTCTTCCTTTCTTCTCGAAATATGAGCAAGCCGCACGAAATCCTTTGCTACTATAGAAGTCCACAACCCTCCTTCGGTGTTTCAACACTCGCAAATTAGAAAGACAGTCACTCACAGTCAGGTGACGAGAATTACTGCCCAACACACAGCCTCAACCACACAGCCGCAACACAGCTTCGCTCAACTCGTCGAGGAGATCGCTCAGCAAAGCTCAAGAGGCAGGCGATAGGAAAACTCTACAAAGGCCCAGCCCCTATAATCTTAATCTGCAGCTCTTACCGGCGGCTTGCCAGCTACTGGCTTTGGCTCTGGAATGGCGGTCCCGGCGTTCGGCTTCTCCTTTGGCGACTTTGTAGCAGGCATTCAACTTGTGAAAGATCTCATCACCGCTCTGAACGATACCGTTGGAGCGAAAGTGCAATACCGACGTCTTATCAGTGAATTGGTCGTCCTCGAACGTGCCTTGACGGAGGTCCGATATCTCCAAGTTGAGAATTCTCGGGCGTCTCAAAAGGTCGCCTTGGAGCAAGCTGCATTCCAATGTCAAGAGAGCATAGAGGGCTTTCTGAAGCGTAATATAAAGTTCAAGGCGTCACTCGGTGTTGAGACGACCTCCCCGAAACGGAGTTGGCGCGCTAATTTGCACAAAATACAATGGACTTTGTGCAAGGAAGATGAGGTCGATAAGCTGAGAGCGGAGATAACAGGACACACTTTGACTATCAACACTCTGCTGGCGACAATACACTTGTGGGTAGAAAAGATCATGCATCACAATGGATTGCGATCTAGCTAACAATGGACATTGCAGGTCGACGACGAGGTCGCAGGCAGAGACGGCGAATAACAACCAGCTGGAACACCGTAAGGTGACGGACGAGTCTCAGTCTCTCGTGAAGCGGAACCATGATCTTCTGACAACTCAAGCGGAACTTATCCTCTCAATTTCCCGGGGCGTCGTAACCTGTTCAACCCGTGATCAAACCGAAGAACTCCAATCAATCATGCTCAAAGTCCTCAATACAAACATGAAGATCTATCAGATGGTCCTAGATATGCAGAAACTCCAATTCCAACTCCCTCCGCAAGTTGATCGTCAACAACCTGTTTATTTCGAGGATACCCATGGCCGGATTGCTCCGTTTCACATCGAGTTCATCAATTCATTCGAAGCATTCCAGGCGGTGATGGAAGTGCGGTTCCGCCACGTGCCCGGATTAAAGAAAGTGCAAAATATCCAATATGCGATATATGAGTCAAGATCGAAGAGGAAGATTGACCTCACAGCTCCATGGGAATCGGTTTTCTTGCCAGGAAGGAAGGTGAACATGAGCATGGTCTTTCGCAGGCCGCAGACGTCTATGTCTTCATGCCCTGCCTGTCTGACTGAGAATGAGATCGACGACAGCAATGAAGGATCCGAAATTCAATGGTAGGTTATCATTTTCATTATCGCTGGATGTTCAACCATGATTCTGGCCCGGCCGCTAACCGACTAAGTAGTTCTAACGTGGACTGTAAGCAGTGGTTCTGGAGAATCATCGAGATTCAGGAGCCAAAATTCCAGTTGGGCAAGCGCATTCTGAAAACTACACCAGCATCATCGAGGAAAGGATCCAAACAGGCCATCGTGGAAGGTGATGGATACGACGAGGATGAAACTGCCGAGGACGAGGACGAGGCCGAGATACAACAATTCCGACGGGTACAAGTCGTCCATAATAATACTGTGCCGACAATTCCACCACTAGATGTGCCGTCTGATTCCGAGGTACCGCGACAGCGACAGCAATCTTCGAGTTACCAGAGGCAGCGACTGACACTCAAGCAACTCGCCAAATACCTGGAAGATAACCATGGGTTCAGGCCCACGTAAGCACGTATCTCTGGTGGTGGACTTGAGGACTGACATGTGGATAGGAAGCGGCAACTCCTGTGCCGAATTTCTCAGTGGAGATTTGAGAATAACGTGAATATGAATGACAGACACGCAATTATTAAGCATCTTGGTTTTGAACTTTTTCTTTTGGAACTTGAGGCGCAGACGCTGAGAGGGCGGACACTTGATGCGGCAAAGTTGAATCGATGGATGCGATTGGAGAAGGCCACCTGAGGAGTCTTTGGTTGAAAACAATGAGGTAGCATGTGTTCCAGGTAAGTTTTGCTTCCACTCGGATTTGGTGTATCTTGCTGATTATTTATTGTGAAGCAAGCCTTGTACCGGGTGAACGGACAGCGAGAGATTGATAATCGACGACAAATTGAAGATCAGCGACGACTGGAGGAGCAATGAAGAATGGAAGAGCAGCAGCGGGGGCCTCGACAATCAGCGACGCTTGGATGAAGCACGACGCTTCGAATGCTTTCCATCTCTCTTTGACCGTGATGTGACTCCTGCTTGATGTGGCACCGCCGCTGCATGGACCTCGCGACCGTCAGCAGGCACAGCAGAAGCAATGAGAAGTTGGCTCTACCTATCACGACCCGTGGCTGGTGTTCTCAGTGGAAAACAGCCGTATTGGGTGTGTATGTACGTCTAAAGAGGGAAGAAGGAGCGGGGAGCTCGAGACTAAGATACAGGGTGCCGCGCTAAGAGGTCACGTGCGACACAACAATGCCAGAAGCGATTAAAAGCCGAGCTGTTCCCCCCGATACACCAATACGAGCGATTGGGCAATCGCACCTAAGCGAGGGGCCCGATTGCTTGATCGCTCGTATTGGTGTATCGTGGGAACAGAAGGAAGGGAAGTTTAGATTCGACGAGATTACTACGGTAAGATTAGAATTCAAGGGCCTTCTGTTTTTAAACACCGATCTTCACGCGCCCACGTCCTTTTATGCATACGAATTTTTAGAAGACGTACTCGAACACGTTTGCACATTTTGTTATAAAGCACTTTGCTAGACGATCTGTTCCACCACTATCTCAAGTGCACCAACTCCACGCTAAGCACTACCCAAAAATCGAACCTACAAAAACTTAACCTTCGTCCACTCACTAACCGTGCCGCCCAAATTAAGCCCATTCTGCGCCCACCACTTCTTAACCTGGAACATCTCTTCTTCACTGCAAACACTATCCTCCAACGCCTCCTCAATATCGCAAGTCTTATACTCGACTCTTCCGCCCGGCCGTCCATCTTCACCTCTACTGAAGATTTTCCACCATTCCAGGACCGCTACATGGCCGTTCTTCGTAGGTTCAGCGAGGACCTTGCTGTCGAAGGCCATTTTCTCGCCTTTTAATTCTCGCCAGGCGTCGAGGACGGCAACGTGGCCGTGTGCAGAGGCAGTCTTGGCTACGGCTTCGGAGTAGCCGATTGGAATTCCGGAGTTGTCCCACCAGCGGATGACGAGTGGTTGGTTGTTCTGTGCAGCTGCGAGTAGAGACTTTCCAGGCATGAGACGGAGAGCAGGCTGGACTTCGGAGGTAGAAACTTCTTCGGCGAGAGGAGGTGAGGGAAGGCGATGGCGATTCTCGGAGTCTGTGTGATAGCTTCCTTGGTGCATGCTTGCCTGCTTCCACCATTCTAGGACCAAGACGTGACCTTTTGATGATGCTTGCTCAAGTGAGTGCTCGGTGTATTTCAAGGGTAGTCCGGACCGTCGCCACCAATCGAGGACATGCACGAAACCTGCTTGGGACGCTCCATCGATGGCTTCAACGCCGTAGTCCTTGGATAGGAAACTTGGAGATGTTCTCCACCAGTCAAGGATTTCAGTCCGTCCAAAGACAGTTGAGGCTAACTTGGGGAGGACTTTCTGACCAAATGATTCCCTGAAGACATCCTTGAGATTCGTCTCGAGATACGTGAGTAGGTTTGTGAGGCAGAATTTGACAATGAGCCTGACGCAGAGGTGGGATAGTTCTTTCAAGTCTTCTGGTGCTGTTTTAAGTTTGGCGATTATTTTTGATGTAGGTGACGTGAGGATTGTCCACTCTAGGGACTTCATCCAGAGTTCGAGTTCGCCCTTCGATTCTTTTGCTGGCTTCTGCCATTCTGGAGGGTTGGGGAGATTGGTGAAAATACCCAAAGCCTTTGACACCTCCCAGTCTCCAATGTAGTCAAATATCAGTGTCCAGATCTCTGGTGGCAAGAGGGCGTCGGTCTTCATATTGTATCGTGCCAAGCTCGCAGCTCCCGAAGTAGCAATATCGACATCGTGGCCAATGGTCATAAGCTCGGCCTGATTCTTGATAACGTCAATGAGCTCCTTGAAGCCATCCCAACCAGCCATAACCTTCCCAGGCCCCTTCTCCTCATATTGCCACAGTATAGGCTGCATGACCCGTATCCATTGCCACTTCCGCCGTATCTTGCTCAACTGCTTCTTCGTCATAGGATTCTCCCACATCGAGCTCGTCATGCCGGGAACCAGTAATATCTTCTTCGACACATCCCACCCACGCAGAATTTCTAGCACCAGACAACCCGTCATGCCATGCAGCATCTTCGCCAACGTATCCGCGTCGATCGGTGCCAGCACCATCATATCCGCCCAGTCGCACAGCTCCTCTGCCAGCTGTTTATAAAACTCAATCTGCGACCGCTCAATACCCTTCCTAGCTTCGTCCGTCTCTATACACGGTCTAAAATATTGATTCGGGAGTGCCAACGTCTCCTGCGACAGCCGATGAGCAGGCCATGATTCCTCATCGACGATAGCTCGGGTTTCAATCTTGGGGTTCTTCGAGAGTCGGACGACGAGCGCGAGTGCTTGTGCCACATCCTTGGACCCGTTCGACGCGACGAGGACTCGCAGCTTCGGGGATTCGTTGACTCGCATGTCTGCAATTGAGGAGGAGGAGGAGGCCTTGGGCATGCTGTTTATGAAGCGGGATCGCAGTGAATGCGTGTGCTCGGCCATGTTGCGAGTAATTCAGGACTGCATGCGGTGTGCTGGATATGTCGAGAGGCGGTGGAACAGGGGAGGGGTTGTACTGCTTGACGTAAGACATCCGAAGCACGGAACGCCACAGAAGCGGTGTGTGGTGAAGTGTATCAATTGTTTCGATTTCGAAGTTCAATGCTCTTGAAGTCCAGGTACTAAGGGAGATGGAAAGGACTGCTGTTGAGTTTGTGCAGAAATCACCTGATGGGAAATTCTAAGGTTTCGAGGTGGAATAATTAGCATTAGGATGGGGCCAAACTAACCTTAGGGGACGGAGACAGCGGCGCCACCACAGTAAACCTTAATACCGGGGCTTGGCTACATGCGAACCTCACCCGATATCGCCCTCCCTTTAATAATACTTAGGCCTAGAGATTTCATTTTGACATCTAAGACTTCGCAGAGAAACTCTTTGACATTTACTTATAAGAACTTACCACCATTTGTTGTCTTTCAATATCGGCAAATTCCCACCCCCATCTTTTCCCTAGCACTTTCTTTCAGGGCATATATGTATTTCATGGATTATAATCGAACCATTCAAGGATTGACATACCTTGAATGTGGCCCACAACTCATCTAATCCTAGATATGCCGTATTGTCCTCTGTCAGATAACTCGCCCGGCTCATCTCCAGCGGGGTCACTTCCCTGGGCCACCGACCAACTTTCTGACACTACCTTTCAAAGCAATATTTCTTTCTCCACCGGACTCGAATAATTCCCCAAACAGAATTTCTGAACATTTGTTACACATACCATTTGTCTCAACTCAGACCCGCTGTATCAGGGCTTCGTAGTAAAAGAGGAACAAGCAAAGGGAGTAGGGGATGTTACACTTCAATCTTGCCTCCACTAGACTTCAGCGTTACTTCATTGCATTCGCGTTTTGGACGCAGAATCTAACTCCAAAGAATCTGAGTGGGTACAATTTCCCTTGTAGTATCGTCTTGGCAAGGAAAAGATCTTACATTTGTCGATAAACAAGCACCCCTTTCTTCTCTTGACAATAAGCGAGACTTCCGTCCACTGGTGCTTCTCCTAACTCTCTCCATTTCCTTCTTCGATCCCTTTTATTTTATTTCCCTGACTTATCTCGTGTCATCAAACTCCTTCTGGTATAGTTCGTATTTTGTTGCACTTCGCACTATGTACGTGATGTCATTTCGTTTGTCGACGACGTTAATGCATCGGCCCTTGTCTTGAGCCTGCCATCCCCTATTTCTTCTCGAATACGACGATGCGAATTTTTGATCCTCCTTCTCCCTCGTAACTTCCTTTCTATAAATTCTTTTAAATTTAAGTAAGGAGGTTACGATGTCAAAGAAACTTTTGACCAAATATGTTCTGTTGCACATGAGACGTCATGGGTGACGTCGTTGTTGCCGGTGCTTTTACGTCGATCTTGACACGTGACCACACTTGAGGTGTGCGATGGAAGAAGATTTGGTGACCCATTAATTGATTTCCCTCTCCCACTCGCTCTATCCATGCTATTGTGGCCCGAGCCTTTGTCCTGTCTAGCAACATACAAAATGCTCAACACTCATCATTCGTAACTGCGATGCAGCCCAGAAGCCAACTCTAAGTACGACCCTCCTCCTCCATCTCCTGAACCTCCCGCTTATGCTTCAAAAAGTTCCTCCTCACCCCACACCTCTTAACCCCATGCTTCCGGACACAATCTCTATACCCTTCACTATCCACACTCCCCTCCACCATCCTGTCATCCTCCTCCGTCCAGACCCCCGGAATATCATCCGGAATCCCCTGCTCGTTCTCCAACGCCTCCATAACCTGCATAGCATGCTGTCCCATCTCCATCGTCGTTGCATCAAGCGCAAGCACCGCTGCTTGTTGCGTGTACCCGAAGCTGATGCATTCATTCATATATTGTTCCAGGGCCGCAGCTTTCTCGGATTCGGTTTGTGATTGGGTGGAGGAGCCGGGAGGGTTGGACTCCGAGCCGCGATTTGCAGCGTCGCTACCGCTGCTGCGGTTGGGAAGGTTGTGTTGTGGTGGGGAGGAGATATCAACGAAGGGATCGTCATCTACTTGCTCTGGCTGTGCTTGTGTTTGTGGGTAGTTGAAATCCTGGGTTTCTGGCTCGAGATTTTGCTGTTGGGGTTTTGGTTTTGCTTGGGGCTTGAGTGGCTTGGTCCAGAGGTCTTCAATGCCAGAACTACTGTCTTCCTCTTCTTGCTGTTGAGCGGGCGAGGAGTATTTAAGAGGTGATGGCCTGAGAGATAGTCGCGGCATCTGAGTATTGTTAATGACATCCTCGGGTGTGGATGGAATCTCCAGCTCCTTGCCTTTGCCCTTGTCGATCCGCTGGCGCTTATTGTATGAGGTATCGACGTTGGTGCGATCAGCACCGAAACTTCTTTTGCTGGATGACGAAGGAAATGGAGGGTGGGGTGAGAATTGAGGACGGTCAAGATCGTCGTCCTCATCCTCCTCTTCCACAAGATCTTCCTGCTCATCTTCCGCCTCGTAGAGGTTCTGAGTCTCTCGAGCTGCGGTCTCAAGCAGCTGGGCCTTGAGCATTGCCTCCTCCTGCGACTCCGTGAAACTCTGCTCAAGTTTATAATGCTGATATGCTTCGAGATCAGTCAATATCTCCTCATAGCAAGCCTTGAGGTCCTCGGTAGCAGTTGACTGTTGGTTGTCTTTGAAACTGAGAAAACGGGCCACTTTCGGCCAGAGATTCATCCCATTCACTCTGTCAATCCCCCCAAAGTCGTCTGACCGTACGACTTGCCATAACTTGAACAATGGGATCTTTCGGCCACATATCTCAGGCGCGAAATCCACTTCCAATTCCAACTCCGCTGCTAGATTTGACAAATCTTTTCTGAATGATTGCTCATCTGTAAGTGTGGGATCAGAACCTCTCCTCTTTTTACTCGGAGGCTGTGTAGTTTGGACAGGTGTATCCTGTGAGTCTTGAATCTCCCGGGCCTTTGCGGATACTGTTTTGGACGAGCTGGGTCCAGGAGCCTTGGGGCGACTTGAAGGGGGAGGCGAGATTCTCGAGGAACTTGGTCCAGGAGTAGGTTTAAGTCGATTTGAAGGAGGGGAGTTTTTCTTTGCCTTTTGTTCCGCTCGTTTCTTGGGGACTACGTATTCTTTGAAATAGTTCCGCCATTCTTGCGCGGTGTGCTGTGGATACTGTGAAGCTTTAGTCTAAGAACATATTTGAACGTCGAAGACAAACGTACATTTTCAGCCCATGCCACCCATGCATCAATAATTTGATCCTCGTCTAAATTCAAAATATCCCCATAGACACCATCAAGTAATTCTGTATCTTCGTCTGTGAAGTTGTTGCCGGCAGTAGGTTTCACGGGCGAAGAATGGGTTGGCGATGACTTCCCAACTGGTTTTCTCTCAATCATGTTCCTGCTTTGGGAAACTCGACTGGTTGACGAACTTGCTGGAGCAGCATTTCGGTATACTTTAGCCACTTGGGCCACATATTGCTGCCGCACGGGTTGTCTAAACTCTGGGCCGTCGTCTTCGGATGGTTCGTCCTCATCATCTTCATCCCCGCCGGCTTCAGGTAACGTAGGTCGCGGTCGAGTAGAAAGGTCTTTGATCCAGTGATCTCGCCATGACTGGAAAGTGTGCCGGCTATTCTGCATCCATACGTCAACATAAATTTCTCCAGTATAGCTCCGCATACAATCTTACCTTCGCTTCCAGCTGTTTGTACAAATCGTTGCCCTTTAATGACAAACCTTTTCGCTCGGCCTTTGTGCACCATTCCATGAGTATACGATCATCCTCGGCTGTAAATGGAGTCCTTCCCTTCTTCGTAGGTTGTGCAGATCCGACTGCTCGAATAGTTCCCACAGGGGGCCCGGCACGATGATCTTCAATATCTTCCAGTTCGCCCTTAGCCACTGATTGCTGGATGAATTTCCAGGATATAGAACCAGGCGGGATATCTCTCCGAGCGTGGTCCGCAATTACGATGTCGGCCTGCTTCTCTAATTGAACGATTTCACCACCGTTGGCCTATGAATATGTTAGCTGGCCCTAAGCCACCTCAGAAATGCTGACAGACCTTCACCAGCTCCTTGAACCTGTCTCGAGTGGGCAGACGCTGTAGCAAAAAGAACTTCATCCCTGCAAACAGTTGTCCCCCTCCACCGACGCCTTCGTAAACAATCGAAGCCATGTTGCTGTTTTCTGTTGCGAAGTGGAGGGAGAAGGACGCGACGAGGCAGCTGCTTTCAAATGAAGTCGTTCCTCGACAACAATAGCATACTACAACTGGCACGCATATTACACAGAGGGTCCGCGACGTCGAGGAGGCATTCCCGCGGTGATGTTGTTTGTGGGACGTTGGAAAGAGGACGCGTTTGGCGCTGGTCAGTTTTCGCCTGCTCACGTGCTGCAGGGAAAACGTCGGGCTGGCTGAGGCTGAAGCCGCAAAGCCTCGGACACAAATCAGACGACGCGTCAAACATCACCATGCTTTGCTCCCAGGGAAACGAGAAGATGGCAGGCATAATCTTATCGACTCAATAATGTCCGAATCTTTGCTTTTGCTGATGATCTGGATCCGATCAGTCTCACAATGGGGACCCTCCGAAACGTGGCCATTGTCGTTCTGGTCATATCCTTCTTCACATTCGTTGCCTTTTTTGGGAGACTCCCAGCTCTGAGGTACTCTCACTGGTCTCACACATATCGAGCAGTGAGTTGACATGGTACAGGAATACTCCCATCGGCACTCTACACCGAGTCATATGGCTTCATATTCCTGGAAGTCTTCGAGCCCTCGACCAGAGACTCACACATGGCCGTTTGAGTGCTTGGTTCTTAAGACTCGCGCATACGTTATGGAACGATAGACATCCAACTGTTATGGTAGGACCAGAACTGTTCCATTATATTTCGTCGACATTTCTCCTGCTCATCACGAGCAACTTCTTCTCTGCAGCATCTTGTTTCTTCTCCTATATTTGACGAAAAAGGAAACTGACACTGTATAGATATTCTTCATGCTTCTGCTATCCGTGTCTGAAATCCTCTTTTTGCCTCCAGCATGGTCCATGCTTACAACAACCCGGAAGGTCAACGCGTCGATCATTCTCGCACTGCCATATGTCTTCCTTTATGCGGCTGCTGCAAGCGACCCTGGTTACATAACGCCAGAGAAGCATTCTCACCAAATGACTCTATACCCTTATGACTTTACAGTCTTTCATCCTGGCCAAACATGCCATACATGTCATCTTCTGAAACCAGCTCGCTCAAAGCATTGCAGTATTTGCAAACACTGCGTAGCCAAAATGGATCACCACTGCATATTCATCAACAATTGTGTCGGGTATGGAAATCATCACTACTTCTTACTTCTTCTCCTCACCACCGCAGTCTTAACGACATACGCAACCTTTGTCGGCTTCTCCATCCTCTCAGATCAAATTCGAGTAGAGATTCCTTCCTGGAAGGTTTGGGGTCCAGGTTTCACTTGGTCCCAATACGCCAATATATGGGCGTGGGCCCTACAAGAGCATACTAGAATCGGTGCTGTGACCTTGCTATGTTTCCTTACCTCGCCACTTATTTGGGGCCTCTTTGGCTACCATATGTATCTCATCTGGGCCGGAACCACCACGAACGAGTCGATGAAATGGTCAGACTGGCAAACTGAGATGAGAGAGGGCTATGCCTTTAAACGTGGCCTCTCTACCGACCGACAAAAAGACGAAGCAATAGAACCAGCATGGACGCGGTGGCCAGTGGAGAGCGAGCAAATCATCGTGAGAACAGAGGATGGATTGCCACCTCGAGGTCCACGAGCGATTGGTGTTGGAGAATGGCAAAGGGTTTGGAAGCTGGCTGATGTTGAGAATCTTTATGACCTTGGATTCTGGGATAATTTGTCGGATGCCTTCTGGCCCAGGTATGGATTCCACCGTCGTTCTCCGAGTGGGAATCAAGATGCTCGAAGCTACCCTGCGTCACCGGCTGATGCAGGTTCTGGTACTCGACAGTAGCAAACTCAATTTACATCTCGGGCTTGGACAATAACGACATAATCGAATCCGAAGGCTGGATTGTCTATCTCAGCACTACGATACCCGCCGCAATTTACTCCTGACGTCGGCTTAGATGTAATCAATCAAGCATGGTCTTTGTCCACGCCTCGTTTGCATCCGGATCTGAACCCTCTTTTCGACGGCGTCAAAGTCGATTTGCGCTAGGCTTAAATATAAGCTTTCCAACAAATTCACAGTCTCAGCCACAACTGGATAGTTCCCGCTGCGGCGCTGAGCGCCGGCTTTCTGTTGAACGCCTCAAGTGGACGGTGACTTTACGACGGAATACACGGCATTCAAACATGCCTTTAACATTCATTATATTCAGTTGCCCTCCATCCTGCCCATCCTTCCCAGTTCTTTCCACCATTCAACCTTCTAGTATCCTACCGTTTTTTCTTCCCACTTCATTCAACATGAGCTCTTCAGCCTCCTCATCCCAAACCCAAGCGGGCAGCAATAACGCGCTTCCCCTAACTGACCAAATAACATCGTAAGTTGAGATGGACCCAATGAAACTAAGAACGCCCACGGACCATGCTCGGAGCGGTATATTCGCTACAGGATTATTTTATTGGTAGCTTAGTGGTAGGGAAACGTACAAGTATTGGGATTATAAGCGCGGGTTATATTCGCGTGGGGTTTACGCCGATTTCTAAAGTGCGGTTAATAATCTTATTGATGCTTTTATAGTATATGCTATTGGTATATAGACAGCGAATACATTTCTAAGGAGTTTTATATGTTCTTTTTATATTAAGTTTGTTTTCTACCTATTTAACGGGTAGTCTTCATTCTCGGCTTTAAACCTGGACTTCATTCCCTATAACCCGAATTCTCGAAGGAAACCACATATCCAAGTTCCTATAATCTTCACCACCAGCCTTCATCTTCCTCATCCGCCGTTCCTTTGCTGTTACTAAACAGTTTCTGACGCCTTCAACCGCCGCCTCCAGCTCATACTCGCTTTCATAAAACTCAATAAGACCTCCGGTCTCGTAAGACTCAACAAGGAATCTTCTCGTGTAGGGCTCAACAAGCACCGCGAACTCGACCAAGTCAGAAAATTCAACGATTCTCGCCCCGAGCCATTCGGAGGCATTCCCTGCCGCTCGGCCTGGAGGCCAACGATCCGTCTCAACAACCAACCGCTGAATCTCTCTGACCTGCTCCGGGAAAAGCGCCACGAACACATCGAGACACTGTTCGTTGATGTCTTGACTCTTGTCAATCTTTGCCAATGAAATGATATCGAGAGCTGGATTCCACATCACGTCTCTCGTGCCCAGGCTTTGATTTTCGATACTCCAGGGTTTATATCCACATGTTAAAGCAACCTGGCGTGACTCGTGACAGGTGCTCAGCAGAGGTGGCGAGGCTACGCTGCCGGGATAGCATTGCACGAGATAATACGGAGATGTTGGACGCTGGGGAACGTCTATTGTGAAGTGCGCGTATGGTGCATCACCTCCTACGAGGTAGAGGCTTTGAGGGGCATGTCGGATGTTGAAATTATGGAGTTCGCAGGAGAATGTGATGATGCGAGGCTGGATTGCGTATTCCCATATCATGAGACGGATTTCGGGGAGGAGGAGGGGGAAGAGTGTGAATGTCGTCGGCGTGGACATGGCGTTTTATTATGAGTTGGAGAGACCTTCGGTGGTTTGTGAGATATTTGGTATTGTGGAAGCTGGAGTTCGAGAAGTGAAGTTGGGAAGGTTTGATGGAGTGTGCTTGCTGCTTTGGGGAAGGTGCCCGGCTGAAGTGCATGCAGGCTGCTGGAGGTCGGTCTCACAGCCTCTGATTTGTTCGGGCTTTGAGCTGAAAAATGTCAACGAAATCACCTGACTTCAACTTTTCCAGGCTGCCATCGCGGGACTATCAGAGAGACGTTGTCCAGCCGAATCGCTCGCACCATCTACCGATCAGGACCGGAGAGATGATGAATTGTACTCATCGTCGAACTCTGGAGTGGAAGAAGTTCAAGATCGAAGCAACATATTGACGCGGTCGCCAGCCGCAGCTGACGAAGACTTCGAGGCGTGCTGCATCATGGATGAAGTAGGCCACCTTGGTGAAAGATTGGCCGGGACGAAGATATTAGAGCCTCTTCGGGAGTAAGTATAAAATAAATTTCTCGAGTGTACGGAGACAAGACTGACATCAAGCAGGCTGTACCGATATCAACCTCTTCAGGGACAAGATGCCATCAGAATGGTCGAGCTACTCCCCGGCATCCCAGGAGACCCAATCCGGGTTGCGCTGCATCACAGAACTCTGTCAGACTTGCCAACCTCCTCAGCGGTCTCCTATGAGTGGGGATCCAATGTCCGCGAACATGTGATATTCTGCGATGATCGAGTCCTAAAGGTCACCGCCAACCTATCACTCCTGCTTTCAAAATGCAGGAGTTTAGATTCAAGTCAACTCCTATGGATCGATGCTATTTCCATCAACCAGGAGGATCTGGACGAACGATCTCAACAAGTACAGCTTATGGGGAAGATATACAAAAACGCTGCTGTGGTACTGATGTGGATTGGCGACCAAACGCCGTACACTGGGGATACCATCCCAATATTTCGACATCTTGCAGAACTGTTACATACTTTCAAGTTGAAACCCGGGAGGACTGAACTTGACCTCGATCCCTATGCAAGAGAGCAAGATCTAGACTCGTTCGCTAAAGAATATCTTCGGAATATCCGACAAAGTCCTTGGGCTGGCATGGCCGACCTTCTCTCCCGGGATTATTTCGACCGGCTTTGGGTTATTCAAGAGATTGTATTATCTTCGAAGGCAGTGGTAGTCTGTGGAAACCACCAAATTGAATGGAAGGTTTTCTACGAGACCGCAATGTGCCTGATTATCCTTGGCTCGAAACCCCTACCAAATGTCGTCCTCCCTGTCACTAACGGGTTCTTTGGCCGCGTGCTTGGTATCAACTTATTAGGTGTGTTGAACTTTCACCGAGTCAATTTCTCCTTGCTTGATATAGTCCGATGTTTCCCAGCCTCCAAAGTCACAGATCCAAGAGACTATGTCTACGGCTACCTTGGGATCTTGGATAGCCATTCAGTACAGCATGAAATACACGTGGATTATTCTAGCACAGTGGAGGAAGTATTCCGGAAGGCTACCGAGAGTGTTATCATCGAGGAGAAGGGTTTGGACTACTTTTCAGACCAAACTGTTGACCCCAATTCTAGACTAAGAGCTGCAATGCCATCTTGGGTTCGAGATTGGGGCTTCCAGCAGCAAAAATTTCGGACTCGTTCTGTTCCTGAGGTGGCGGAGCGATTGGGCGCGAAACAAACTGTATTCGTGGATGGTAATTACTTAACAGCGCATGGCCTGATCATTGACTCAACCGAGGAAGTCTCAGATAATTTACGGGAGGGAAACCTAAAACAAATTATTCTTGGAACCTTCATTAATCTCCTTTCTGGGCTCAGCGAAATGACAACTGCAGACGTATCAATGGCTGCACGAAAAACACTTCAATGTTTTGACGCTCTTGCACAAACGAGGCCCAATCCGATCAGTGAGAAAAGCTTTTTCGCCTTGCTAGCTTCCATTCACTTAGAATTGTTAGTAGATTTGGGCCTGGGCCCCTGGGCTTCGAGCCAGAATCCGATAGTGGGAACCTGGCGGACGACAAAGCGCTCGCTTCGAAGTCTGAAGTCTGATGAGTTCGGGGAAAATACAAACATCATACGTCTTGCACAAAAGAACGTTCTTCTGCAGTGGTCGACTGAGCAAAGCATTTGTGCTGGGGACTTGGGGTTGGAGTATTGTGCTGCTGGACTAGCCCATCGACTGTTCCTAGATGACAGGTCGCTAGGGGTGAACATGTTCAGGGGCACTAAAGGGTTTCGTGGACACGGTCCAGCTGGACGGAACGCCTGTGTAGATGACCCGCCAGTGGTTCAAATAGGGGATCACATTGCTCTGTTTCCCACCCTCGATCTCCCAGTGATCCTCCGGGAAGGTGATTGTGAAGGGGTTTACACACTCATTGGCACAGCACACGTGGGAAACCTCACAGAAATTCCGTGGTATGAAGGGGAAACACCAAGTCTTGTTCCGATTCGAATCAATTGAGTATGCGGATTTGAGTGGGACATCGGAGCGGGAACTCGAGAAGTGAGTGATGCACCAAGGTACAGTACTTGCTTCCACTGAATTATCAAGCCTGTGGTGACAGGAAGAATACAGAAAGGCAGTTTAATGTTACATATCTCACGCTTCACTTGAGGTATTCTTTCAAGCAGGGTTTTATTCAACGGCGTTCGGATGTCAAATGTCCAACTAGCCATTATACTAATTCTGGGAGTTATAAAGCTTATCTCTACTAATACTGGGAGCTTACTTAACCTTATAGGCTAGAGGCACCCAGTCGCGCGCCAAAGGCACGCGACTACGTGCAGAGCGTATTCACGTGCAAAGCATATTCATATTCGGAACACACTTATATTTAGAGCATATTTATAAGTATAGAAAATAAAGCTATTTGCAAGGCTTGGCAAAAGGCATACCGTAAGGAGAAGCAATAGATAGTTGCCTGTGTGTTGTGTGCCATGCCGGTACTTTCGTTTTGAGAAGTCAAAGTACAACTTACTTGCTTGACAGGGACCGCATTGACCTGTGCATGCTACTCAGTATATGATACAGTGGATCTGCTCGCCTAATTTCCAGACAAGGACCCCGGCCGAAATTGACTTAGAGGTGGAGCTGGGAGTAGAGAAATTCTATGGACATGTGGCCGGGAATCAGATGCGTTAGCAGTCTAAGTCGTTGAGGCTGTGATGGAGACTCAGTAGATTTGAGGAAAGTTATCAAAAAGTCTGAAGCATCAAGATTGAGACCCTCTACTCCAATCCCCGGCTGTGTCTCCATAGTTGGCTCTTTCACATTCCTCATCTCCACCTTTTCTGGACCCCCTGATGCGATCTTCGCATTTGAGTTTTCGACCGCTTCCAACTTTTACTTCTCGGTACATTCAACTGCAACGTTTCCCAGTCCTTGGGATCTAACGATATATCGAAGGAAAATGTGTCAACACTGAAGCCAGAAACGAATAACTTTAGACGTGTCGAGGTCACCACTTCCCGAAGAGCAGCTACGCATTTGGTCGCCTTATACCTGTCGTTTGCTACGGCAAAGTTCAATAAATCAGCATCGAGAACGACAAAGACGTAAGACAGCCCTCGGAGAGCTGCATTCAAAATATTCAACCATTCATTCTCCCCCACCGCATCTTGTAAATGAACGACAGAAAGTGTATGACGGTTGTTTGAATAATTCGAGTCGTTGATTTGCAGGGCCTGGGTTACAAGCATCTGAATTAAATTAACAAAGGTAAAGGGCTGATCACGAAAATCCGGAAACCTTAAGGCAAAGATGATTGGCTTCTTGCTACTGCGTATCAATGCGGTCAAATCGACCAGGAAGTCTCGAGAGCGCATCTTATCCCCGCATTTTGTTACAAGTACTTTGCTTCTCTCTTCGTTCGCCCACTGGGTCAATCTTGCTATTTGTGACTGGTCTGGTTTGGTCTTATTCTGTCTACGGCTCCCGAAAGAAAGACAGAATTCGAGACATTTTCCCGAAAGAGGTATTCCACGTAATGGTCCACAGGAGAAAATTTGATTGAGGAGGACTGCATGAAGGATTTCAGTTTGGGTCTCTTGGAGTGGCAGCAAGCGAGTTTGTAGGCTCAGGTTTGCTTTCGATGGTCAGCACAAAAATATCTTAGAGGTTAATGTTGCTTACTTTGGGCCAAAACGAGCGTCATTTCGCTCACTTGTGACTGTAGCTTATATATCTGCAAATGTGCGTCTCGAAGCTCTGCTCGTGATGCTGCGCTAGCATCTGCTTCTATGATGAGCGATTGTTCCTGAATCGCGGTTACATCGTCTTCAAACTGGAGGTCCCAAGGGTTGACGATGGCGTGCATTGCATGCGCCAATCTTCCTTTCTTGTACCAGGCCATGGCCTTTTGTGTAAATCGCAGAATATGCTTATATATTTGAGCTACTCCAATCTTTATTCTTGCCGTCGGGTACAATAGGACGGCGACTTCAGTTCGAGGGAGTATTTCCGCAATTCGACAGATAGATTTAGCCAGCTCCTTGACAAGCTGCTCGGAACTCAGAGTTGCCTGTCTCTCGTTAGCTCACCCGCGTGGAAAGACTTAGGTTGGATTAAACAAGTACCATGAACAGGAATTTAAAAGCCCCCCAAACCAACGTAACATACTCGGGGTGCTGCGGGACGAAGACGTCGAGGATAGTATTGAAGTGGATAATCCGTGCCGAAAGAGCGACCAGCCACTTCCTTGTCCCGCTATGAGATTTGCTATCATACGCATCCTTCGCCTTTCTCAGCTCTTGAAGAACATCTTCAAGCGAGTAGCGATAATCGAGCCATGATCGACTCTCTGGACAAGGCAGTTCCCCAAGGAATAACTTTGCATCTTTATAAGCATCTTCAGTGATCGATTCGAGTCTACTCAGTATAAGTGTTCATTAGGAATGTTAAGAATAGTGAGTGTTCACTTACTCAGTGCCGTTTTCAGAAGCCCACCATCCCCGGAGCCGAGAATTTAAATGCTCACTTGGTGAAAGATGAGCAGGGAGAGCTGTCATGGTTTTGATTTCATCGGAAGTCCGTGTTGAAAAAGTGGCCAGCTCTATGTCCTGAGTAGAATGGGCTGATAGGAGAAAACAGCAACAGAGCGCAACGAGGCTGCTGATTTATCGTTTTACCTCATCTTCAGCCCCATTGGGCTTGGCGTTAGATATTTTGGGCCCGGGCTTCGTGACTGACGAGGCGAAAGACACCCTGCCAATGAGGTTGCAATGCCTATGCACCTCTGGCAATATCAAGTTAGCTTTGGCGTTGGCTAGGTGAGAGCTGCGGGTTACCATAAAGTTTTAGGCAACAAGGCGGATTCCTATATATCGTATTGAATTCAGCCCTGGCTAACCCGCTCTTGCATGTTCTGTGGCGAGCTGGAAGGCGTGCTCAAATTATTTGGGCTGCATTCTCTATGCATCAGGCTAGCTTTGGCATTGGCTAGGTGAGAGCTGCGGGTTACCATAAAGTTTTAGGCAACAAGGCGGATTCCTATATATCGTATTAAATTCAGCCCTGGCTAACCAGCTCTTGCATGTTTTGTGGCGAGCTGGAAGGCGTGCTCAAATTATTTGGGCTGCATTGCACCTTGTACTCGATAGGGCTGTGAGGTTTTTCATCTTTTCCTATGCAAACATGACTTGAACAAATAGTCCGTGGAGACCAGAGTATCGAGTTTAATTTCGACAACTGTTTGTTTAAAAATGTCTCACTTGACAATATCTGAAGACGTCACCGAGGGGCTCTCTAGTGCAGCCTTTTCATCATTGCAGGAAAGAGCCCAGCGGGGGAACAATTTTGGCTTCCGGCAAGATGAAGATGAAGAATTTTATGGCGAAGAAGAACCGGAAGATCACGATGAAGATGACTACGACAATGACGAGGCGGAGGAAGAATATGATGAAGGAAAAGATCGTGATGATGAAGACTCTCAAGACGAGGAGGGTTCAGAAGCAGTGTCCGAATCAGCGTGGGACACGAACAATCGGAAACGGAACCGAAGTCCCACTGGCTCTTCAGAAAATCTTCATGTCACAAAGCGTGTAAATACCAGCGATAATTTTACCAAGCCCGATGAGGATGAACATGTCTACAAGGTTCTACACAGAGTTATATGTCACTCGAACAAACACCATATTTTTAAGTTATTTGAAGACGTTCCTGTCCGGGGAAGTATGGGTCATCTCTCGGGTTTCGATCACCTTCGCCATGAGAAAGAATATGTTTCCAAGTTCCCGCACCTCACCTTTCTCATCATCAAAGAGCACCATTGCAAACTAGATGATGAGTTGAGCGACTCCTTCGGTCCAGCAACAGCTGGATATTCAAGAACGAGCCATGAATATTCAGAGAACGGGCGCCTCGTTATTCTCAGCGAAGACCTAAAAAAGGTCATCAATAAAATCTCAACGGCATATCTATATCGATATGGCGAAGAAGAAATGTGCCCGCCTTACATATGGCTGTTTCATCATCGCTCAAAGCTCAGGATGGAAGCTAACAGACCGCATACGACAACTTCACGGCAGGTTCATTCTCTTCTCGACTATGCTAACGAGCGATATGGACACCTGTATGCGAAAGCTGATAGACAACAAAAGGATGGAAATTTTGACAGGGACACGATTCCATTCCTTTTCCGACCCAATCAGATGCTGGTCTGGCGCATGGCATCGAACAGAACTTACGATAGGACACCGACGATGAGGGCAATTGTATTGGAGAACTGGCCGAATCATTCGAGAGGTTCAATCGCGCTGAATGGCTTCTTCTTCAAACACAGCAGCGTTCATTCGTCTCGCACAAGTCAGAGTCTGAAGGTAGACGTCCCGGAGACAATCTCTCGGATCCAACACCTTTCCGTCTTTCCTTTTGAATATGCCGACGCCAAACAGAAAGACGAATTGATAGCTAGAGGGAAAGAGTATTGGAAATATCGAACTATCCAGAATGTATGTTACAGTGGCTGGGATGACAAGGAAGAGTTGCTGTTGGTAAGCTTTTTAATTACTTTAGAATTCAGAATTCAATGACTTACGTATGATCTAGGCTGAGGCTCGCTTAATTGTGGATTATTGCGCATACCGTCAACTGCATCCTTATTCGTCGTTTTGGGGAGAGAGTGGGAAATCCCAGAAGTATGATTCATGGCCATCGTCCCTCGGCCATGATAAGAACTTAAGTTCGGAGACATATGCGTTGTTTCCTGACACTTTACACAGCTTTTTACTCAAAGAAAAGAAATGGAGTAAGCCGCCCTTTAACAAAGCTATTCATTTTTAACCAATTCCTAGTCACTATCCGGATTGATCAAATTAGTTCCATCTGCTGGAATAAGAAAGCTTTCGATCGCCTTGTCCTTCCAGAGAGGACTAAAGATCTAATAAAAAGCCTTGTTTTGGTCCGTACGACGAAGGTTGGGGAAAGCAGAGGTCTGAGTATTGCGGGGAAAAGAAAGGACATAATTGCAGGAAAGGGGAACGGTCTCATTATGTTGCTGCATGGAGCACCAGGCACAGGCAAAACGTTGACCGCAGGTATATCATCCCATGTTTGGCCTATTGCCCTTGTCCAATTGCTTACGATGTCTAGAAAGGTTTGCCTTCTCTTTATCTTAGGCGTATTCCGATTGCGCTGACAGAAGCTTTTCAATTATCAGTGTCGCTGAGATTGCTGAGAGACCCTTGTATAACGTGACTTGTGGTGATATTGGAACCAATGCAGAAGAAGTGGAGAGATATCTCAAATCCATACTCTTCTTAGGTAAGATGTGGAATTGCAGTAAGTACAGCCCCATGATTTTAGACGCGAATTCATCTGACACGAAGCAGTTCTGCTTCTCGACGAAGCAGATGTTTTCCTGGAAGAACGTTCGCTTTCTGACCTAAAGAGAAACAGCTTGGTTTCTGGTATGTCTGTCGAATCATGTTAGCCGTTTGCTAATGAAAGCAGTTTTCCTGCGAACGCTGGAGTACTATGACGGAATTCTGATATTGACAAGCAATAGAGTCGGAACATTCGACGAAGCATTTAGTTCACGCATCCAGGTTTCGTTGCATTTCCCGCTACTCGACCGTCCTTCACGGAGACAAATTTGGTTGAACTTCTTGGAAATGATGCGGGAGGACGAAGAAGAGGTTGATTTTGCTGGATTGGAACGTCGTGTTGAGGAGCTATCCGATCTTGAGATAAACGGCCGCCAGATCAGGAACGTGCTGACAACGGCAAGGCAGTTGGCAATTTTCAAGATGGTAACCATGGGATGGGAGCACGTCCAAAAAGCGATAAGAGCGGCTGCCGACTTTACAAGGTATATACAAACTGTCCATGGCCATACGGATGAACAAAACGCCAGAGATGAAAAGTGGAGGTAGATGTATGGAGCCATTCGCACATTCTTGGAACTACATCATATAACCGGTTAAACTGGTGGAAATATTTTAGAACTCCGTAAACATGATAAGCCGGTGTATCGATAGAAGATATGCCCCTCTTGTGTGAGTCGCGCCCCTAAGGAATATTCCGAGTGGCTACCTAAAATTCCAAGTTCCTGGTGAAAGTTTGGTTTCGGAGTCGTCGTTCAGAATACTTGCTTCAAACTTTGTACTGTAAATTTAACTCATTAATGATTTATGCACAGGGCAGGGAATAGAGCGGCTAAGTTTCGAAACCAACATGTTTTGGTCAAGTTCAATAAGGAATTACAGGAAGACGTGACGAGCTGAACGATGGAGACAAATTGTGTGGTACGGACGCGTATATTCCGAATAGTGTGGGATGCATGGAAATGTGCTGTTGATGAAGATTGCTATCCTTCACTATAAATATATCAGTGCATAGTGATGTATGATTAAAGAAAAAATGACTCTTTTGTGGAAGGGCATAGTTTTGATGTATCCCTCAGGCTGGTGAGGCGTGTTGCGTTTTAGCGGCCGCCATGAGTGGCCAGTTCCTATGGGAAAATGTAAAACGACACCCCCCTGGGTGTCGATTAGACAAATCAATGGATTCTAAAGTTTTAATAATGCTTAATTAGCTGCTTGTACTTACTTAAGTCCTTCTCTCGAATCAGAATTCCTAATATAGATATAAGGAGGTTTGTATATAAGAGCTCTAATTTGGGGCGTGAAATAGGCGAGGCAATAATTGCGTACGAGGTAAATTCGTTCCAGGTACTTAATCGCTAAATTTTCAGGCTCTTATAGTGCCTTGAAAATTCCGACTTTACTTACCTTCTTTAAATTTTCTTAAATCCACTAATTATTATATAATAAAATTATTATATCCTATTAGCTTATAATCTGGCTTTCTATAATATAAAAAATAATTAAATTATAATAATTCTTTATACAGTAAATTAAACTTAAAGGAAAACTAGTTTTTTTGGTGTTCCTCTCTGCTTTAGGTTAGTCCGGCCCCCGGGGGGGGGGTTTACATTTTCCCATTTACGTCCGCAAGAGACACAATTGAATAGCACTCTGGTGACTGCGAAACGGTTGAATAATTCTTTTTTCTTCCGCTGCAGGATGACACCATAACGGCATGCGCTGGCAGTCCAGGCGGCATTCGTTTTGTAAGATGAAGGCGGGTGGTGGTGGCTTAGAACTTTAACGAAATGTACTCAGCCACCCTAGGCGTTCTCACAGAAGTTGTCTAAACGCACTCCCTTCTGGTATGCTACGCTGAAATATTTCCTTCCGTTTCGGCAAGATCAATATTGTGGACTGCCCAAATCGACTTCAATTCTTTAACTTGTCACAAAGATGAGCACAGACGAACACACCCAGGGCCTCGTCAATCAACTTGATTTCTTCCCCCGAAGTTTTGACACTGCGAATTGGGTTTTTGGGGACCAGGGAGGTTTGATAATATGGTATGAGGAGATTCTAGGTCGCCTGCCTTATCCGGGGGGCCATTTGCCTTCCGATGTTGTTACTACATATCCTCCATCTACAGTACACTCCTGTGGCGACGAATGTTCAAGCAATTGTTCGGACCTAGATGTGGACCTTCTGCAAGTACTAGAGGACGTTGTGCTGGATTACCCCCCAAATGATCTCGCTCGGGGTCCTTTGTTTCCAATAAAGGAAGAGCCCACGGATGACTCTCTTGCATACATGGAGACTTCAAGCAACACCTTGATCTTATCGATTCGAAAGAGCTCTTGGAGGTCGACAAGATTCCTCCAAAATTCCATATACACGGAGCGTTTGGAGGAACATAAAACCTCGGATTCAGAGGCAAAGCATCTTACAATTACTTTACCTGATATGCTGGAAACCCTATTTCAAGTTACCTATCTAGACCTTGAGGTGATTAGAATTCGGCAAATTCTTTCAACGTTACGCGAAGCGCTAGAGGTACAAAGATCTGGAGCGAATAGAAAACTCAATACAAGGATCATAGAGTCCTCCTTGGACAGCAATATTTGGTCGCGCAATCTGTTGCAAAGTATACAAGGTGTTTGGAGCATATCTACCAAACCCATCCATGGGATTGATTCTGTTCTGGCCACAAGTGAATGGTACTTCTACATGGGCATGGTTGCTCTTTCTCGTTCACAATTTCGATTCCGCTCGCCGCCTCTAAAACAATATTTGGATTCTGCAATATCCTTCTTCTTCCTGGACCTTCAATATGGCACCGACCGTTGGGAGACGTGGTATCGATTAGCGCAGTGCTATGAGGCTATAGCAGAGACTACTTCCGATTTTATCGCGCTAATTAGGCGGGCAATACACTGCTATATGATAGCAATTTCATCAGCTAAACGTACTACACACACACACGAATCCCTGAAAACGCTTTCTCTTCTCTGTCACGACTTTGGAATATTAATATACAATTTGACACCGTTGATGGAATCAAAATGGCCTCTCGGCCGTTACGAGACTTGCAAATTGGCAATTAATCTCCTCAAACTCGCGACGCTCTACTTCAGTGGGCGGTGGATGTATGTTGAAACTCACAATAACCAGAGTGTTGCCTTCTAACAATTTGATAGGAGTCATTTCATGTTAGCATCTTACACTTACCAAAGGTTTGAAGTTACACAGGACGGTCAGAGCCGTAATCTCAATTTGGAGATTAAGAGTGTACTTAAAACTTTGAAACAAGCGTTTCATATATTGTCCAAATCTCCACCAATTATTCTTCGCCGGGAATCACGTTATGACATCCACAAAGAAATTACATTGTTGGTACAATGGCTCATCGAGAGACGAGAAAATAATAGTGAACGAGTCAAGGTCGCCTTAAACTACTCCATCGCAGTGTTTTTACGCTGCCGCGAGAGCTTCCGCTCCGATGTTAAGGCTTTCTCCAGATCCATCCCACCAGTCAAGCGGAAGGGGTATCGAATTGAAAGAGCGCCGATTGAAACCCAGTTTATTTCATATAAGCGACAGGCAGCTTCTAGGAACGAGCCACAAGTACCACGAGGTCAAATTTCACTAAAGAAAAGCCCTAGTGCGCTACAAGTAACTTCGCCTATGTCCAATTTCCTTATTGACGATAGAATGCAAGATCTCCGTGGACTTGGACCGGAAGATATTATCCAGTTGGGTCTTCTCTGTGAGCAGCAACTGAAAGTCAAGCAAAGTATTGCCGTGAGTGCAAACATGGCAAATAATCTGATGAAAACCTGCTAAAACCACGCTAGTGCTTTAACTACTTGACGCATTCTCCACCCGATTTTGTGGATAAAGTATCTTGGTGGCTCAAAATTGCACCTACGTTAGAGCAATCAGGGAAGGTAATAACGTAGAAATTGCCTTTTTAGGAACGGTCACTGACCTACCAAGTTCGATATAGCTAAGAAAATGTACAAGCTTGTACTGGAGAGAAATTCCGAGAACGTAGAAGCCATGAAAAATCTTGGACGGTTGTACCACCAGGAGGACACATCTCAAGAAAATCAAGATCGGGCAATTAGATATCTCGAAAGAGCCGTGGCACTCGGTAAGCATATGGTTGTCGGCTCCAAAAGATGCATTCCTCGAAACTAATCAAGGCAGACAAAGGCAATACTCAAAGCTGGTACCTGCTTGGGTGCTCTTATTTATCAAGGCAATTTCTTTTTAAAGCGCATGAAGCTTTCCAACAAGCGATCTATCGGGACCAGAAGAATGTCGACTGCTGGGCTAGCTTGGGAGCGCTAAACGTGAAGATGAAGCGCTATAAAGAAGCTCAGAACTCTTACGATACAGCAATAAAACTGGATCGGAGGCGAGTAGAGTCTTGGGTTAACCTGGGTAATCTGGTGGGCCACCCCTGATTTACATAAAAAGTGTATAACTGATAAGCGAATAGATGCGGCAATTAGGCCAGATCCCAAAGGCTATTGACAGTTTCAAAGTGGCTTCTAATTTAGATCCGTCCAATGCTGAGGTTCAAAAATACTTACGGGAGTTGATTGATGCTAGTGACGGGCAATGAGGGAAGATAACTGAAGCATACAATGGAGGCATTTGGTTTGATTATGATCAACACTTTCCGAAGACAGTCCTTCCCTTTGCATGTCACTCCTTTATTCGAATACACTTGACAGAAGCCTGAAGCATGCCGTGAGCCAGGCAAGCTGTTGACCTAAATCAATGAGTTTATCTAATGGCTCAACGGCTCTGGTAGCTGTAGGTGTATAGTGTTACGAACTTCTCTCACCTCTGGCGGGCTATACTGTTAAATAAATGGCCGGTGCTGGTGATACCATGAACGTAACAATGTATACGCCGCTGCTTACACAACCCAACTCTCTCTATAACTGTTCAACTTCATCTGCTTCTTGCTTTTCCATTTCGCCTCGATGAAAATCGATCCATATTGGCTCCCTGTCTTGCTGTCCCAATGTCATTGCGTTCGCTACCACGCTGCTGTCATCCACATTCCTGGACCGTCCGAAGCTGCTACTACCGCCTGACGCCTCTTGTACAGAAGAAGGAGCTAAGAGTAGTGTAGTGGTGTAATCTGTACGAGATCTGGGCCGCTTCGCTAAAATTAAAGCCTGGCGGCCCTACGCAAGCTTCGGGGCCAGTCTTTAATTTTGCCCTGATCTCGATTCGAGATTAATTGGATGCCTCAGGCACTTATTTAAGGGATATCAGCTTTACTGACTTTAAATTCACTTTGAAAATTCACTTTTTGAAGGCTAAAAATTTTCCAGGTAAGCTAAATAAGGTAGGTTTTAATTTCGAATTCCAAAGCTTCTTTCCTTTAATAAACATCTTCATACATACACTCACGTAAGTTAACCCCTATACCCGCTACGGGCCTGCCCCTGGCCTGTAACGCTTCTTACGGTCCGTAGAATGTCTTCTCTACTATCTACTGCCGCCGCCGCCACTGCTGCTATTACTACTGCTACGGCAGCAAACTTTGCTACTGGCCTGCCGCCGCCGCCGCCGCCCGCCCCTCCCGCCCTGCCCCACCCGTACTATGGCCTCCCTCTCTCTCCTCACCGCCCGCCGTATGCCTATCTTGCGGCCCGGCCGCACTACTAACCCCGCCCGGCCTGCCAACCTGGAGGCTGAGCTTAGCCAATTCGTTAGTCAAGTTTATCCTGCCGGATATATATATTATACTAGCAGGTCGGATATATAGACGGTATATATGGTTATAGCTAGTTTTTTTAGTAGAAGCTATACTAACTATTATTATAGTAGTAAAGATACCTGCTATTTTTTCTATAAGTACTTTTATATAATATTTTACGGACTATAACTAATTTAATAAATACTTCCAGGTACTACTACTAGTCCCGGTCCCGGTTCCGCCCCTACCCCTACTAACCCTCTCTTGCTTCCCCGGGTTATTACTAGTAGTTATATAAGTAACTAGGTTACTTCTAATAACTTATCTTTATATATATATACTTACTATAAATTATTATAGACCTTAACTAATATATAAATAGCCTACTATACTATTACTACTTACTACTACTACTTATTTATTTTTTCTTAGAAAATATACCGTTTTACTAAGCTTTATAGAAAGCTAATAGCTTTTTATAAAGAGGAGATAAAGGTACTAGAAAAAGAAAAAGAAACGAATTATTTAGTACTAGTATTAGAGAATAGGAAGAAGTAAGAGAAAAAGAGAGAGAAAGAGAAAGGGAAAAAGAGAGAGAGAAAAAAAAGAAAGAAAGAAAAAAAGAGAAAAAAAAAGTTATAAATCCTATAAAAAGTTATCTAGAAAAGATATATATTTTTAATACCTAATAATATAATATTCTTAGTCTATTTAAGCCCTAAAATATTTAAAGTAATAATTATAAGTTATTTATAAATAGATATAAATACTTATAAGTAATTATAAATAATTATAAATAGTTATAAATAATTATAAGTAGTTATAAATAATTATAAACCCCTAAATTCCTTAACCCGACTTATAAGGCTATCCGGTACTTATAAGGCACCTATAAGAGATAAAATACTAAAATAAATTAGCTAAAACCTTAGGATAAGTTATATTAAATATTCTAGATAAGTTTTTATATAATAGAAAAATACTTAAGCTTTTAATAAATAATATATAAGAAACTCTTATATAAAACTACTTATAAATAAATACGAGTATTTATAGATCTAAACTAATAATATAAAAGAACTAATCTTATAACTTATTAATAATTATTATAAAATATAAATAAACTAGGAACTATTTCCGGGAAAAGATAATCCCTAGGCTAATATTTATAATAAATAGCTTAATTTATAAAATTATTTATAACTAGTTATTAAAATTTCCTCTAAATAAGTAGGCCTTAATATAATATATCTATAAGCTTATAACTATTATTCGGGTCCTATTATATAAATTCTCTTATAAATATAGATTTTATAAAAGTAGTATTAGAGCCCTAATCTTAAAAATAAGCTAAAATAATAATAAGAAAAAGAGATTAATACTTTATAACTATTTTATAAATAGCTTATATAAGTTATTACCTAAAAACTTATTTATATCTAGAAAATCTACTAATTAGTATATCTATAATTAGCCTAGTAAATATCTAAAAATATAAATATTAAGCTCCGAGATTATAGTATTTAATATAATTAAGAGATACTATTTATAAAAAATTAATAAATTTATAATAGCCCGAAAAAGAAGTTCTAGAGAATAAATATAGCTAATTAGATTTATAATTAATACTAGCTAGTTTATATAGTTCGGAATTATTACTATTTTATTAGGGTCTAGATTATTAGATAATTTACTAATTTAATAAATAAACTCCTGGCTATTCTCGCCTTTATAAACTTATATATTAGTCTATAAATAGAACTACTTGAGCTATAGCTAAATAAATAATTATTAAAGATATATAGTAATAATATCTATTTATAAATTATATAATATAACTAGAAGAATCTAGGTAAAGTTCTTATTAAGAATTATAGATACTTTTCTAAAAAGAATATTATTTATTACAAACTATAAATTTATTAAGAACTAGTAAATAATCTTAAAATAGTACTTATATTATATTAGTATCTTGTCCCAGATAATAAAATCTATAAATTAGAGAATCTATCTAAAGATATTTTACTTTATAATAGAACTTATAAATAATTTATAAAGCTTAATTAGAATCTTAAACTAGAAATAAGATATATATTTATTTAGTAATAAGAGAACTATAATACTTGTAAATATTATATAAAGAACTATTTATTCTTACTTATAAAAGTAATAGTAAAGTACTTTATATAAGAATATTTTACTTATATTTCTTAATCTTTATAAATAAAAATAGGCTATTTATAAATCTAATTTAATAGTTATTATAATTTCCGTAAAATATAATTACTAATTAGAATTAAGCTAGGCTTATATTATAATTATAAATAATATCTAGTTCTCGAGAATATATAATATAAATAAGAAATAATATTTACTAATCTAATTTTAGATAAAAAATAAGAGCCTATAGTTTATAAACCTATATATAAGTAAGAAAAGGCTATAATTATAATATGGGTTAAGAAATAAAAATAGGAAACTATTATTATAAATAAGCTAGTACTAGAAATTATTATAGAAATAGTATTTATACTAGTTTTAGATTATTAATAGGTCTATAATTAGCTACTAATAAAGGCTAGTTAAGAATAATATTCGTAAACTATTTATAAATATAAATAAGATAGCCTTATTAAAATACTAATACTATTTCTAGTTATTTTCTATTAAGCTATAAGTAATATAAGTAGCCTAATATATTAGATAATAAATACTCTTAACTAAATATAAATCTATAAAGAACTATAGGCCGCAAATAATTATAAATAAAAGCTATAAGTAATATTACTTACCTGAAATAGGGCTATAGTAATATATATAGCTAATTTATTTACTATTATCTTACTAGTAATATTTCTATTTCCGGATCTTTAGAGCTTATATAAATTTGGCTAAAAACTCGAAATATAAATATTTCTAGCTATTCTTATATATAGTATTATATTTAAAAAAGGCTATTAGTATTAAACGGGTATTTATAATTTTTATAGCTAAAGTTATAGAAAAGATATTATTTAAAAAATAAATTATTTACTTTTTTTTAAAATAAATTATAAGATACTAAATAGAAAGAAATTCCTAATATATAGAAAATTCAAATAGCTACTAAATAGCCTTATATAAACTCATATAACAGGTATATATATACCGGGTAATCTTATTATTTATAGCTATAATTATAACTATAATATAATTTACTTTTTTATATATATATTTATAAATATACTTAATTACTTATATAAATATATAAATCTTAATATTAATATATAAATAAAACTTTTAAAGAAAATATAAGTTATATAAAATAATCTAGTAATTATTATAAATAATTTCCTAGCCTAGAAAGCCTAGTTTATAAGCTATAAATATTTATTTATTATTCTAGTAATAATATTCGGGATAATTATTCTTATTAATTATAATATAATTTATAAAAGCTTTTGGGAATTTCTTAAAATATACTAATAGACTATAAGCTTCTTTATAAATCATATATAAAGCCCGTATATAATTCTTTTTATATAAACTATAAGATATATTATTTATAATTAAGGCTAGAAGCTTATTTATAGAATCCTATAATAGATCCGGTAGCTTAGTATATATAATCTTATCTATATATTTAGATATATTAAACTTTTTAGATACTTATAAGAATAAAAGTAAATATAAATATAAAAGCCCTTACTTTTAGTACTTAATTATATAAATATAGCCCGTATATTATTCAAAAATATGATTTTTTAAGTCTATAAAAAGCTCCTAAACCTTAAGTTAAAATATATAAATAATTAGATCTGGCTAGTTTATAAATTATAAGCTATCTAGCTCCTAGATAATTTCTAATTATTACGGATTTATTATAAAAATAAAAATAAAAATAGGCTTTCTAAAATAATAAATAATAGTTATTAAATCCTAAAAAAGCTATTATATAAACTAATTCCCGCTTATAAAAGAAAAAGAAAAAATAAATTAATAGCCTAGATTAGCTAATAAGATATTTTTATAAATTAAGGTATTACTAAACTATTATATATATTTATACGGATCTTATCTTAATATAAATAAAGCTAATTAAGAAATATAGTTTTATAAATAATAAAAGTATTTATAATATATTACTAAAAAAGCTAATAAG